GACCATAGCTACCCTAACCCAGCACCACAAAAACAGAGATTAAAAGCCAGATCTTTAACAATTAAGTGCTGAAAGCTCTGGGCTTGAGTGGATGAATCTAGCCTGATTTCATGCATTGCATTTGAATTTATTTAAGGATAAACAAGAGATGGGAATGGGTGTGTGCATGCAAGCCCTCCCCCCACATCTTTCCCATCTGGAAGTCTCTCAGACCTTTGCATGTTTAACACAAACTTCTTGGTCAGATCCTATGAACATAGACTTCAATGTTAAATACCTTTCTTCTGCCTTTTTTCTGGGTGGATTTTGGCTAGGAAATGAGGCTTGTATGTGTTCCTATTGTCTCAACCAGTCTTTTGGCTCTATCCTTACTCAGGCATAATGCCCAAACAGGATTTCTAACAGGACTTAACTATGTTACTGCATCACGTAATCTTAAATAATACACCTTATTGCACCAATTGCACATTGCTTCAATTACACAATGACCAATATTCCCAATACGTAGTGACCAACATGTCCAAAAGCTGTCACACATGTGCATCTCAATTTCTCCCAACTTCCAACACATTTCCTGGGATCTGAAGATATTCAAGACAACAATTTTCTAGTTGTGTTCAAGATCTCAATCAGTAAATTCAATTCTTTAAAAAAAAAACACCAAAAAACCCTCCAGTTTATGAATATGGAATATTGAGCTTTTGTATCCACGATTCAAAACCCCAGAAAATGGGACTTCCAGCTTGAGACTGCAATGAGACAGCAGAAGGAAGAAGGAGCTCCATCCCTGGGCTGAATTCTGACCTGTCTGGGACCCCCCCAGGGGGTTAACCCCCCCCCAAAGAAGTGGTGAAAAGGGGGAGAAGCCTGTTGATCACAGGGGGGGAGCAGTTACCCACGTTTGATCTGGGAAATCCCCCAATCAACCAGCGGGAAGAAACAAGCGCTAAACTAGCTCGATTGCAAGTCATCGGCAGCCAGCAATGAAGAAGCAATAAATCAGCTAATTAACATCATGTTACCACTGGGTGAGAAATATTTTTTAACTATACTGCTTTATGACTATCCCTGGACGAGACAATCCCTATAACAGAGATAGTGTGTTCTATCCCCCACTACTAATTGAACAACGGTGAATCTGGAGAGAGGAAAAGACACAAAGAGATGTAAAGAAATTACAGTGATGCCTCAACTTATGAACTTAATCCGTATTGGAATAGTGTTTGTAAGTCAAAATGTTCGTAAGTCGAAGCACCATTTCCCATAGGAGTGCATTGAAAACCCATTAATCTGTTCCAGCTGAAGAAAAAAACCCACAAAAAATTAAAAGAACAGCAAGCCCGGTCGGAAGGCACTCCGTTACTGAGTTTTAAGAAGAAGAAAAAACCTCCAGAAACAAACACTAAAGCCACCAACAACACAGCACAGAAACATACCCTCCCCAGCCAAAGCCCACCCCGAACAGTTTTTAAAAGGAGAAAACAGCAGCTTATTTCCCTGCACACACACACACACATGCTCACTCCAAAGCAGAAGTAGGCAGCCCCAAGCCTACGATGATGACACACTCTGTAACTGCCGAAAGTGAAAGAGCTACAGTACAAAGCAACCTCATTGCCACCTACAGTTAGAAATCTGAATTGCCCACCTTTCCTCCTGCTTTTTTTTCTGTTTGTAAGTGGAATCTCCATTCGCAAGTTGAAGCAAAATGTTGCAACTGGAGCTGTTCGTAAGTTGAAATGTTCATAAGTAGAGATGTTTGTAAGTCGAGGCACCACTGTAAATTAGACACTAGTTAGACATTTACTTATACTTCAATGAAGGAAGTTTGGTATTACTTTGTCGTTAGAAACTTAAGAATCTTTCTCTTAAAACCATCATTAGTGAGAACATGTGCATCTCAATTTCTCCCAACTTCCAACACATTTCCTGGGATCTGAAGATATTCAAGACAACAATTTTCTAGTTGTGTTCAAGATCTCAATCAGTAAATTCAATTCTTTAAAAAAAAAACACCAAAAAACCCTCCAGTTTATGAATATGGAATATTGAGCTTTTGTATCCACGATTCAAAACCCCAGAAAATGGGACTTCCAGCTTGAGACTGCAATGAGACAGCAGAAGGAAGAAGGAGCTCCATCCCTGGGCTGAATTCTGACCTGTCTGGGACCCCCCCAGGGGGTTAACCCCCCCCCAAAGAAGTGGTGAAAAGGGGGAGAAGCCTGTTGATCACAGGGGGGGAGCAGTTACCCACGTTTGATCTGGGAAATCCCCCAATCAACCAGCGGGAAGAAACAAGCGCTAAACTAGCTCGATTGCAAGTCATCGGCAGCCAGCAATGAAGAAGCAATAAATCAGCTAATTAACATCATGTTACCACTGGGTGAGAAATATTTTTTAACTATACTGCTTTATGACTATCCCTGGACGAGACAATCCCTATAACAGAGATAGTGTGTTCTATCCCCCACTACTAATTGAACAACGGTGAATCTGGAGAGAGGAAAAGACACAAAGAGATGTAAAGAAATTACAGTGATGCCTCAACTTATGAACTTAATCCGTATTGGAATAGTGTTTGTAAGTCAAAATGTTCGTAAGTCGAAGCACCATTTCCCATAGGAGTGCATTGAAAACCCATTAATCTGTTCCAGCTGAAGAAAAAAACCCACAAAAAATTAAAAGAACAGCAAGCCCGGTCGGAAGGCACTCCGTTACTGAGTTTTAAGAAGAAGAAAAAACCTCCAGAAACAAACACTAAAGCCACCTCCGTTGCTGAGGTTTAAGAAGAAAAAACCTCCAGAAACAAACACTAAAGCCACCTCCGTTGCTGAGGTTTAAGAAGAAAAAACCTCCAGAAACAAACACTAAAGCCACCTCCGTTGCTGAGGTTTAAGAAGAAAAAACCTCCAGAAACAAACACTAAAGCCACCTCCGTTGCTGAGGTTTAAGAAGAAAAAACCTCCAGAAACAAACACTAAAGCCACCTCCGTTGCTGAGGTTTAAGAAGAAAAAACCTCCAGAAACAAACACTAAAGCCACCTCCGTTGCTGAGGTTTAAGAAGAAAAAACCTCCAGAAACAAACACTAAAGCCACCTCCGTTGCTGAGGTTTAAGAAGAAAAAACCTCCAGAAACAAACACTAAAGCCACCTCCGTTGCTGAGGTTTAAGAAGAAAAAACCTCCAGAAACAAACACTAAAGCCACCTCCGTTGCTGAGGTTTAAGAAGAAAAAACCTCCAGAAACAAACACTAAAGCCACCACCAACACAGCACGGAAACATACCCGCCCCAGCCAAAATCCACCCAGAACAGTTTTTAAGAGGAGAAAACAGCAGCTTTTCTCCCTGCAGACACACACACACATGCTCACTCCAAAGCAGAAGTAGGCAGCCCCAAGCCTACTATGATGACACACGCTGTAAATGCCGAAAGTGAAAGAGCTACAGTACAAAGCAGCCTCATTGCCACCTACAGTTAGAAATCTGAATTGCGCAGCTTTTCCCCCTGCTTTTTTCTGTTTATAAGTAGAATCTCCATTCACAAGTCAAAGCAAAATGTTGCAAGCAGAGCTGTTCGTAAGTTGAAATGTTCATAAGTAGGGATGTTTGTAAGTCGAGGCACCACTGTAAATTAGACACTAGTTAGACATTTACTTACACTCCAATGAAGGAAGTTTGGTATTACTTTGTCGTTAGAAACTTAAGAATCTTTCTCTTAAAACCATCATTAGCAACAACTCTGGGAAACTAAACTTGTTTATGTTACTTGTAACAGCTATCTAAAGTGCTGGCAAAAAGTCTAGAATCAATGCCCTTGAACACTTTATGGCTGTTAGGAATTCCCTTTCTTTTTGAGGACTGAACTGAACTACAGAAAAATTAATTCTAGAAATCCCAATCCAGCCAAAGTGGAACTTTAAACTGTATCCTGGATTCTGAACTTGACTGGACCTTGAGCCATTAGGCAGGGAAAACTGGAATGGACCACTTCCAGGGCATCTTACAAAAGACATCAGGCCATGAATACAAACACCGAGTGAACTAGACTGTCACTTTATGTCAGAGAATTGATTCAAATTTAACCCTAAAAATGATCAATCTATAAAAGTGGACTTATTGAGCCAATTATTGATTGAATTGGACTAATTAAGCAACTGGGCATCTTTCACTTGGAACACAATTATTGGACATCTTGGGACATAATTCTACAACAAGGAAAATGAACCCTTCAAGCAATTTTAGAAATAGTGAAATCCCACAACGAAGAGGCAAAATTATTCAATGAGCAGTTAAGGAAGGACTATATTCAACAGGAGATAGGGAATAATGAACAAGGAAATGTGAGGGTGGTGGATGATGTATACCATCCACAAAAAGAGGAGAAATTTTAGGAGATTCTAACCCTGGAGACGAGGAGACTTCTAGGTGTGCTAAGACAAGATACAAAAAAAATGGGCAAGTGACAAATGGTGCACAGTTAGCAAGTTAGCTGGGTAAATGATTCACTAATGTATATGCATCATGTGGCCACAGATTTTAATTGTGAAATTAAAGAGGAAGAACTGCACAAGATTTTGTTCATGTGACTATGGCCTATGCTACATTTATAAAACAGAGAATGGATTTTAGGTGTGCTAAGGGAAGATAAGGGGAGAGAACCAGCAGATCTAATTAAAAAGAGCCTGGAAGGTCTATAGGAGATAGATCAAGTGTGTAAAATGGTCTCAGATGGTACAAGGGATGGCAGAATTTTTGGAGAGACAGAAACAAGAATTGGGAAAAGACAAATAAGAGAAAGAGTTACTTAGAAAGATGAAAAGGGAAAAAAATATTAAGGTGGCCTTCAACATTGGAAACATGTATATACCTAACTTCTGGAATTGTAAGGGGGCATATCCTATATATTAGGAAAAGGAATTAAACTGAAATAAGGGATCACTAGTCAGAGCAAAGTCATAACATGGTCGTTCTTAAGGTAAATTGAACCTAGACATAAGGATGAGGTAAAACCAATAGTATTTAATGAACATACATTATATATGATATTAATATAGACATGATAGAAAATGTGGAGATAGAAATGGCTAAACAATTATATAAAGAAAATCTGTATGAAATGCTTTAGATAACATCTATTATGTGTTAGGAACCTATTCAGTTATTATTGGTAAAAATACGAAGTTCGTCAGTTAAATCACCTCAGAATTATATAGATTTGGAACTGGAATTACTTTTATTAGGTATGTTATTAGAGGATTTAGAGAACATTGTATACTATGAGAGCAATACTATGATAGCCAATATTGTACAGTATACTAAAAGACACACATGAATGGTTTAAATGTTTTTAAAATGTATAGATTTTGAATGGACAACTAAGAAGACACCAAGACACAAAAAACAAATAATTATAAGCAACCCATGAAATAGAATGTTTAACAAGCATGAATTGAATGTAGAGAGACTGAAAAACTAATTAAATGTTTTTTTTAAAAAAAAACAGAAAATGGCCCAGTATTGCTGCACAATATTGTGTCTACATTGCCAGCAGAAAATAGCAAAAACCAAATAATTATAAGCAACCCATGAAATATGTTTAACAAGCATGAATTGAATGTAGAGAGACTGAAAAACTAATTAAATGTTTTTTTTAAAAAAAAACAGAAAATGGCCCAGTATTGCTGCACAATATTGTGTCTACATTGCCAGCAGAAAATAGGATGTCAATCAAAGGGTAGCCTGAATGTTAATAACACCAATGTCAATAGTCAAGGTGGTCTGCAGGATACTCTCTTGTGCTCACTGCCATTCACAAAAAATCATCAGCAGGAAAAATCCCAGAACCTGACTCCTTTTTTCATCAGTTAACCACTTATCACTCACACATTTTATAAAAGAATGATAAGGGCATCCACAGAGCATTCCTACCTGCACCTTTTTGGCCTATCAGGGGCTTCAACTTTTTTGGTGTACGTTTGCTCTGGTTTGGACTGTTTTCTTTGTGTGTGATCACTGGGAATGGACCAAAAGTGAGAACTGATTTTTAAAAAAACCAATATTGTGAAATGGCTTAAAACTGTCACTTTGGGATATTGTCAAATTAATCACTTCCTCAGGTCTGTGGGCAGCTCCACCAGACACTGAAAAACAAAGCAAACAAAAGCTTCTAGAAGGAAGTTTTCTGGCCTCTTCATGGAGTTGAGGAAGTGATTCATTTGCTAGTATCCTGAAGTAGCTATCTTATTAAGTCCCTTCACTATATTGGCCAAGGCTACTCTGGAAGAAATAGGATCCTTTGATATTCATATGCCATTTCGATGTGGGGATTGCACCAGATGGCATACTGCACCTCTTACTAACACTACTTAGCCTGCTCCAGCCAAGCTGTGTAAACATTTCTCCTACATACATACTGACACCTTTGTTCTGAACTGAGCCAGAGAGCCTCGGTGCCTGATGGAATGACTAGAGATGGATTCACGAGTTTTAAAGCCACCTCAGACACAAAAAATACATTTTCCTCCTCCAGTCCACCTGGAGTTCTGCAGAGATTATAACAATTTCTTGAAACTTCAGTTGACATTCTGTGAACTGGGACCCCTAGTTATTTGGATGCTAGAGAAAGGGATGCATTAGAATATCATTGAACCATACAGTGTGAAGGAGCCTATAAGGCCATCAAGTCTAACCCCCTGCTCAACTCAGGAATCCAAATCAAATAATATCTGATAAATAATTCTCTAATTTTCTCTTGAATGCCTCACTACCTCCCAAGGTAATTCATTCCACTATTATGCTGCTCTAATGGTTAGGAGTTTTTCCCTGATATTAAGCCAAAATTTGGCTCCCCCTAACTTGAGCCCGTTATTATGTGTCCTGTACTGTAGGATGACTGAGAACAGATTCTGCCCTTCCTCTGTATAACAATCTTCCAGGTATTTGAAGAGTGCTATCATATCTCCCCTCAGATGTCTTTTCTCAAGACTAAACATGCCTAATTCTTCCAGTCTTTCTTCATAAGGCTTCATTTTCAGTCTCCTGATCTTCCTTGTTGCCCTCCTGTTAACTTGTTCCAGTTTGTCTGAATACTACTTGGACTGTAGTGTCCAGAACTGGATGCATTACTCAAGATGAAACCTAGTAAGTGCCATAGAGAGGGGAATTAGTACTTTATGAAATTTGGAAACTAGACTGTTGTTAACGCAAGCCTAAAACACATTTGCCTTTTTTGCCGCCACATCACACTATTGGCTCACATTCAGTTTGTGATTTATAATAATTCCAAGAATTTTCTTCCATGTAGGGATACTTAGCCAAGTATCCCCCATCTTGTAATCATATGTTTGTTGCCCCCCCGGTGTAGATTTTTTTTTCCAGCTCAGTTGGTTAAGTAGTTCAGTTCTCTCCCACCTAGGTTGACACCACTACTGCAGTGTGTCTTGCACGTTTTTCACTTTGAGGCAAACTGCCAGCTGAAATTCTGTTGCTTAGCTTAAGAAGATTCATAACCTTCAGCCTGTTCCTAAATGGCAATTTAAAAATCCCCACTGCAACTGTTGGTGTGTGAGAGTGGGGGGAAGGCACACACTGGCTTGGGGCATGTGCACACCCTTCTGAGCAGTGTGGTAGGTTATTTCATATCAGGATGTGACACAGGACACCAAAGATGGAGAGCCATTGATTTAAATCATCCCTAAAGCTGGTTGAAATGATCTTCACCAGGGCTCACAATGTATGGAAATGATAGGATAGGAAAGGAAAGAAGGAAAGGAAAAGAACCAGTGATTACCACTTCTCCCATAACTCTGGTCTACTGGCAGGAGCACTGCTCAACCTTTGACCTGTTATAGCAATCTAATCTTGAGGAAACCTGATTTGGCTGTATATTTATTTATTTATAGATCTCTTCAGGACTTGGAGTCTACTTTGCATGAAGGACATATTGTCTCAATGCCTGAGCTGCATCTGCTCCTGCGGCGTGTCATTGTATCTCCGGTTTCCAGCAACCTTGTCTTGTTTCTTCAAGATTCGGTAGGTGTTCGTAACTTGCCTTGTCTCACAGGCGTGGAATACAGCTTGTGTGTAATGAGCTGAGAGGTGCCCCCTTGCGACCTACGCTATCTTTTTGTTTTTCAGCTTAGTGTGGATGACTTCACACGTTACGCCAACTCCTCTGGAAATGAGACACCATTTCACAATGTTCAGGCAAGCAGAACTATCCCATATGGCATCTCCCAGCCATTTTCGAAAACAAAAGAGAAAAGGGGTGTTTGAAAGACATGACAGAGATGTTGTAATTCAATCAACAGGTTGAAAGCTCCTCCAGACATTATACAGGGATTGTTGTAAATGTCCACATTTCCTTTTCAGCCTTCAAAAACCATTTAGCTACCTAGGATTTAGTTTCTTTTATGGAATGATCACTGGCGTGGAGATTAAGAAACAGATCATTCTTGTTTCCCAAGCCGTTTCTGCACAAACACAACTTGAGCATATGGAGTGCACTGCTTTCCAGAACCCCTCCTCTGGGGTTAATTCTTTCCAAAGTCAGAAGCTGTTCTTTTAATAAATATATTTCTCCAAGAGGTCTTTTAAAAAAAAGTATACTAAAATGACCTTGAAGTACATTTCTCACCTTTTTTTTTAATTGGACATATCTCATAACACAAGCTGAATATGTTACTGCAGTATACTGTGCTCACTGGCACATGTATGGACCTGTCAGTTTATTTGTTTGTTTGTTTGTTTAATTTAAACCCCTCCCATCTGGCCCTGCCCTGGTTATAGTCCTGGTAGATGGACTGAAATTCCCATGAAAAAGTGCTGGCTAAGGCTTGCGTTGAAATATATAACTATCTGGAGAGCCATGTGCTCCCCATCCTCCAGCATCATCCCTCTCAGCAACCCTCCCACAACAAAATTTTGACATAGAAAGTCCTCTGGTGCTGCCCCTTTTCTTGCCCACTGCACTTTTATTTCTAAAATCTAGATGTGGAGGTGGTGGGTGCAGCCCTCCAGGTTTTTCCAAGACAAGTGTGTGCAGACCCAGACTTCAGGAAATTAGCTACCCCTGCGGTCAAAACATCCATATGCCATGAGTTCTGGGGTTACTTCTGTGGTGCTAAATTTCAGGTATCTCACTGCTGACTTTCCAGTGGCAAAACTGAGCTTTTGTGGTAAAAGATGGGCGAACATCAGGAGCACTTGAGATTGTTAATGCAACGTGTTGCTGGGAATCTAGGTCACCCACCCCAGCAGTCCACCAGAAGCATGCAAGAACCCCGAAAATGGCAGCTGAGTTCCACTGGCTTGCAGACTATGGAAAAGTTCCTTTCGGCCAGAGGAGTTTTGGAGCTGGTGTATGTACATCTGGTTTTCCAGTGGTAAAGTCAGGCGTGCTAGTATGACAGGGTGTCATGCAGGAATGTGTGTCTGCATCTGGTTTCTGAATATTTTGTGCTGTAACAGAAGAGTGTCTATGCTCCCTCCAGAAGACAGATGCCCCCCCCCATCAGCCTTGCACTCGGTCCTGCTGAGTACTTGACAAACCATCTGTTTTCCATACCTGGAACAGCAAAGGCAGAGTACTAATCAAGCACCTGCAGTGCCATCTATGGCGCAGGGAGAAGTGGTCTGGTTTGGGGCTTTGATGATATAATGGCATCTATTACAGATGTGTATACAACATTACTCTTCCTGGCTGGTGTGGGGTGTACAGATTGGAAAGCCAAGGAGAGAACCACTAAATTCAGCAGGGAATGTTTCCGAAACTTTGTCTTTGTCTAGAAACTTTGTCTAGAATCCTTGGGTAGAAAAGGAGGGAAAACTGTGTTCTTTAACTGCTTTGAGCCCAAGCCTGAGAACATTGAGTACATCTAAATCCCCTTGAAATCAACAGGACTTTTGACTTTTTAAAGCTGCTTCTCTACAAAGAGCTCAGGATTCAGGGCTAAAGAAAGAGGGAGTTGGTATTTGCAATTACAACAGTATTGTTAGCTTTGTAATGGTGACAACTTCCACAGTGAGCTTCACTTCTGAGTAGAGATTCAATCCTCAGTGCTCTAACCCCACCACCTGCAACCTGTGTATGTTCAATTTTCAGCCGGACTTGGGCATTATTATTATTGCTTTTTGGCCATGATTGAATGCACACTTTGATTTTTTAATGTATTTTTCCATTAATTTATTTTTATGGTTTTTCACTCTCTGTTATTTAATTTCCTCCGGGGACTTTGGGATAGACTTATTAAGATCAGTTTAATAATATGTGTACAATAAACAAGAAGAGCTTCCCCAGTAAGTTCAGGAAAATCTGGACTTGAGATGCAAGAACTCTACAACAGAAACAAAAACCATTATCGTGCTGTAGATTTTTGCCCTAATCAGCCCCACTTGTGCATTATGGCACAGCTTAAAAAGAAATATGTGCTACCTGGTAATGCTAACAAGGTAGAAGGTCTAAACAAAAAGTTCTAATGTAAAAACTGGAAGTCAGATCATCACCAAATTTGGTACAATGGGAGAAGACAGTCTGTTCCTGCTTTGCGCCAAATCCTAGGACATTTGAGCAAAGGTCTTACACGTTATTATTTTTTAAAGCAACACTGTTTTTATAATGGGAGAAGACAGTCTGTTCCTGCTTTGTGCCAAATCTTAGGACATTTGAGCAAAGAGCTTACAAGTTATTATTTTTTAAACATGTAACACTGTTTTTACCCTGTGCAGAAAATAAGACCAGATATGTATAGACATTTAAAAAAAGTGCATACCTGGAAAGAAAACAGCCCCTTGCAGCCTCTTTTTAAAATTTCAGATAAATTAACATATTCTGTCTCTAATAGCCCTTTTGAAATCAGTGCTTTTCAAGACAGAAAAATGCCCAGTTTACCAGCTTGTCTCATAACCTCTTACATTCCAAGTGAAGATTTGACCCTGTCTCTCTGAATCGACTCTGAAAGAAAGCAGTTAACTATGTCCTGGCCAACCATTTTTAACTGCTTTTAAAAAGACATTTTAAAAAGAGAATTCTATTGAGCAGCTCACTCATTTAAACTATTCAGCAGTTTCCAAATCTGTGATTATCCCCAAACCACTATCAAATCATAGAGCCCATCTCTGCTCACAGACTGCAAAGCAGAAGTTATGAGTCACCCAGTGCATTGCTTTGCAATGGTGCCAAAACATGGATTTGCTCCACAGATCCTCATGTAGAATCATGCCCAAACCACTGTCCAAGCATAGGCCCCATTTCTGCCCACATACAGTAGAAATGGTGGGGCTTTCAGTGCATGGCTTTGCAGTTGCACAAAAAAATTGGATATGAAGCCAAGAGTCTCACAGAGCCACTTGATTTTTCTGCAGGATTATCCCCAAACCACTGTCCAATCACACAGACCATCAGTGTCCACATACTACAAAACAGAAATCATGCCCCCCCCCCCAAAACATGGTTTTGCAGTGGTGCAAAAGACCAATCCAAGGCAGGAGTGCTTATACATCCAAATGATTTTTCTGCAGAACCATTCCCCAAACCAGTGTCCAGTCATGCAGACCACCAGTACCCACAGACTACAAGACAGAAATCTTGGGTACCCTGGGTACAAATGGCTTTGTAGTGGCACAAAAACATGGATCCAAACATAAAGCAATGATCAGGGCTGTTTTTTCAACAAGTGTGAACGGTAGTGAGCAGAAGAGGGTATCTTATAGACCATCTTGATTACTGCAATTGGTGTTGTCAACATTTGGGTTGCCCTTTGCCATGTAAAGCTTGGCATCCTTTTTTTTTTCCTATATGTAAAGCTTGGCATCCTTTTTTTTTCCTACTGGCAACATGAGCCTGCTATTTTTCAGCAATACTGGGCCATTTCCTGGCTTTTTGAATTATGGATGCAGAAGCACAATATCCCATATTCATGAACTGGAGTTTTTTTTTTTAAAAAAATTGAATTGTACCTGAATGTGAAAGCACAATATCCCATATTCATAAACTGGAGGTTTTTTTTAAAAAAATTGAATCATACATAAGCTGAATGTGAATGCTTTGCAGGTCAACTTTCATGAAGAGTATGAGTTCATGGGAGTTGGAAAAATGCATCCTTGATTCTCTTTCACTAATGCAAAGGTTGCACTGGCCTGTTTCTTAAGGCTTGTTCAGTTGGGAGATGCTGTCAAGTTCTGATAACTATCTTATCAGCTAAGTGATATAGTTGAATGAATGAGGATTTGTTAATGAATACTCAGTTGAGAAATGTGGCATGTGTTACAGATCAGATCATAAGCAATCTGAACAAATGCTTAACAAACAATAGCCATACTAATTATCCACTACTAAAGCATGATGATGTTCAAACAACTATAACTTAAGAGGAAACAGATGGTTCTTTGATGCACTTAAAACAAATGTTGCTAATGAATCAGTGTTCTAGAATATGAACATGTAACAATGTTTTAAGTGACTTCTGTAGGAGAAAGAGAGGCACCAATGCAATTCTAGTGATGTATGTTGCTTTAGTTCTTGGACTAAATCCCCCAGAAGCCTTCACCACTAGCTGTGCTGGTCTGGCTTTCTGGGAGTTATTCTCTAAGAACCTCTGGGGACGCAAGGTTGGGAACCACTGATTTAGAATAATTGGAAGGGGACAGCATTCAGAAAGGCCAGAAGATAGGGTTGCCTCACCCACAAACCACCTGTTGATCAAGGATGCCAGGACTAAAGTTTCAGGGGCATGACATGAAAAAGATATTCTCTTTTACATTATCATCAAAGGTTCGTAAACCCATGCTCTACTAGTTAGCAATACAGATAATCTCTTGTCGATCTTGTTAGTGGATCAGCATGAGAAAACTATAATAGTGGATTGTGCACACTTCCTAAAGATGCCCAGACAATGGAAAAGCTATTCAAGCAATTAAAGAAAAGGTCAGGGGAATGTAGATAGTCAGAGAAGAGGGAGCATGGAGAAAGGGGCATAGAATGTATTAAAGGACATTGTATAACCATCTGTTAACATTAGAAAATTAGATAGAATAAAAATTAGTTTAAATTTTTTTAAAAAAATTTATTATAGAAATACAGAGTGAAACAAGACAGGATGAGTACATTGAAAACTCATGGTTTTTTATTTATTGATTTATTGATTTTGGTTGAAAGCACATCTTGTAATTTGAACTTTTTATAATATTGTAAGTACATGTACTAATCTACCTGAAGGACTATGGTATTGGCAGGGAACTGGTTCCAAGTCTCACACCTATATCTAGCATAGTCTCTGGTTCTGGTGGCCATGTCTGGTAATACACTCTGGAAATACATACAGTGGTGCCTCGCTTTATGATTGCCCCGCATTACGATGAATCTGCTTTACGACGATCTTTTTGCGATCGCAATTGCGATCGCAAAACGATGGTCTAAAAGGGGGAATTTCGCTTTGCGATGATCGGTTCCCTGCTTCGGGAACTGATTCTTCGCAAAATGATGTTTTTTTAACAGCTGATCGGTGGTTTCAAAATGGCCACCGGGTGCTTAAAATGGCTCCCCGCTGTGTTTAGGGACAGATTCCTCGCTATACAGGCAGCGAAAACGGCCGCCGTATGGAGGATCTTCGCTGAACGGTGAGTTTTTACCCCACTGGAATGCACTGAACGGGTTTCAATGCGTTTCAATGGGTTTTTTTATTTCGCTTTATGTTTTCGCTTAACGGTGATTTTCCTGGAGCGGATTATCGTCATTAAGCGAGGCACCACTGTATTGAGAGGGGGTATTTAATGTTTTCAGGCAGTGAATAACTGAAACTGTGGATACTGATCCCACAAATATAGTGGTCCTACTGTATTGTTTTTCTTATCACTATGCCAAAACATTTTCTGTACATTCATATTACAAAGAAAGAGTGTAACTAAACTATATTCTGTATAGAATGGGGGCATTCTATACAGTAAATAAAAAATCATGAGTTTTCAATGTACTCATCCTGTCTTGTTTCACTCTGTATTTCTATAATAAAAACTTTTTTTAAAAAATTGAAACTAATTTTTATTCAGGTAGGCATTATTTTATTTTTTACTCCAAAGTAAGAGCGTGCAGACTTGATCTAGTCTGACTAGGTAGGCGGGCATTAGTCCTTCTCCACTGCCCATCACTTTTTCCTTAAATTCTCTTTCTCCAAAAGAGGGCAAGAAACCTAATTGGTTTCAGAGTGATCCTAGTGTTTGGGCATATGGAGCTCTGCTCCGCTAAGCCACCTAACAGCCATCCCAGAGAGAAAGATGATGTAAGATGTCCCTTGACTTCCCTCTAGGAAGCTGGCTCTGCCCCCATTAGCCACCTCTGTTGCCACTCCCTCTTCTGTTTTACCTGCTCCACTCTAGGAGTGAATTTAGGAAGAAATTAAGAATTGCAGGATAGGTGGAAGATTTATGCCTGTGCACAATAGTTCCCCTATGTATCAGCAGTCCATGTGCTTACTTCACAGCAAAGGCTAGAAGTAACAAATTGCAAGTGCAGACAAGTCAGGACTAGGGCAGGAGGGCACCTTCTGAATTTTGGGGTAAGCCCACCCACCCATCCTGATCGTACCCTATTTGCAAGCAATACAGTTATCTGTGATTAGTCACTTTGTGGGGGGGGAATGAGTTTGTAACAAAATTGTATTTTAAAAGTAATGTAATGAGAAGGATCAATGTTATTTTATTGATATAATCAGGAATGTTTTCTAGTTGCTTTCAGAATTTACTTTTAAAGACATTTAGGAGGCATCTTGACAGGCATACGTATTTCACATTTATGTCACGCTATCATCTAGCCTAACTTGTGTTTTTTTTTAAGCAATGGAAAATAATGCAAATGTAAAGAGCAATGCAGTAATGTAACAAATCATTTTCTAATTCTGCAATAGCAACAAGCTACTTTTCAAATGCAATAACAGATAACGGGAATCAATTGCATGTAAAAGCTAACTTTCCAAGCTCTGCTTATAGGGATCAAGAAACTGAGGGTCACCTCTGTGTTATATATTTAACACTGCATATTTGTTACTCCCTTCTTAAAGAAAGAGGCATCTATGGGCTAATAAAAGCCTTTAAAGGCAGAAGCAAAAGGCAAACAACTATCAACACTTCTCTGCACTCTGGCCTAAAGGGTGTAACTTTTATGTCTGGCTCCACTAAGTTTGTTTTGGTCAAAACAGCTTCTTCGCTGTTGACGTCATTCTTCACAGTGCTTTTATTTACAAAACATATAAAAAGCAGGTTGCCCTTTTGTAGAGTGAACATAATAGCATCTGAGAGGCTGTGCTTTTTTCACAATTTCCCTTTTCTTTTTTCCTTGTTCGTTAGTTGATAAGCAGATACTTTCCAGAAGGGTTGGCCATGGAAGGATGAACTCATGGTTTGTAACACTTTTGTCAAAGAGACTGCACCCGCAAATACAGTACAATCCTATCTATATTTCCTGCCTCCACAAATTTTGAAATGCTTAGCCACTCTCCATGAACTCAGATGTAACAAGAAGGCTGAGCAGCAACTTGACTGTTTCCTCTAACAGGACTGCAACAGGCAGGGCTCAGTTTTTGTCAGAGCAATAACTAGTGAATGTGGGCCCCGCGGCAATGAGTGCCATCTTTCGCCCTCTGAGTCCAGATACTTGGCTGTGAGCCCAACTCCCAATAAAATGGGGAAAAAGAAAGTTCATTCTTAAAATAAATGTGTGTGGGGGGGGAAGAGAATGAATAGCCAGGAGTAGCTGCTGTTTCTTTTCTTAACATTTATCACTAGATTTATGCTGGATAACTCAATAGTTTAGGTATCACCAGATAGAATTAGGTATCATCAATGGAATTCAAGTGAGTTGTTATGAACAAAACCCATTCGTTTCAATGGGTCTACTTCAAGTAGAGTTTTCCTCACAGGCGTTTCGAACAGCTATCAAAGTAGAATCATTACAGCCTGCTTAAAACTTACATCTCACATCTGTACTTTCTCTGTAAGTTGTAATGTTTGTTAGTGGAAATGTTTTTGTGGTTATGCTTCAAAGAAAGGCAGTGACCTAAAAACAATGGAGTGCCTGGAAGTGTGTTAACAAGATGCTTTGTTTTTAATACAGCTAGATATACTAACTTACAAAAAAACAGTGGAAATTCCATATCCATCTTGCCACATAATCAAAGACTTAAGAGCAAAGACATGTGGTAATTAATCAGCGGAATGACTTAAAGGCATGTAGGTCGGTATGCAAGCTGAAAATGTAGACACAGTGGAAAGAACCCATGAAGGAAAAGACCCATACAATCCCACCTGTCTCAAACAACCAGAGCTTGGGTTTAACGTTTTCTACATGCTGTTCTTGGTATAACGAAATATCATCTGCTGCCATTTACGCTGGTTGGTGAAGATTGCCATTGGTTAAGGTGCTATGCCATCGTTTAAGAAAAGATATAAAAGGACATTAAAATAATTAATCTCTCTCATCCCATTCCTTTTTTCCCTTTAAAGCAAAGCGTGCTGCTTATATACCGCCCCATAGCGCTTCAACACTCTCTGGGCGGTTTACAAGTTACTTATGCAGACTACACATTGCCCCCCCCAGCGAGCTGGGTACTCATTTTAGCAACCTTGGAAGGATAGAAGGCTGAGTAAACCTTGAGCCGGCTACCTGGGATTGAACTCCAGGTCGTGAGCACAGTTTTGGCTGCAGTACAGCCGTGTAACCACTGTGCCACGAGGCTCCTCCTTACTACTTGTTGCTACTGTATGATGATTTTTAATATATATTATCAGTAAATAACTTTCTTTTAAGCCACTTTGCAGTTTGCTCCCAGCTTCTTTTTCTGTTTTGTAAATACCATCTGAATTGGGGAAGTGACTCCATGGAAGCATTGTATTTGGGGTAGGTGTGGGAGCTTCATATTCATATCTCCCAGATACGAATACGAAGCTCGGCACCATAGCTGCCATGGTGGTCTATTTGTGCCTCCCAGAACTAGCCCAGTCCACTCATGAGGCTCTTCACAGTGCACCCAAGGGCAGCAACACTGTGTCAATCGCAGAAGTAGTCTTACTGGCGCTGTCCCGCCTCTCCCCACACCTGACCGCCCTGGCAAGGAGTTGGGAAGAAGAGTCTCCCCCCTCAGCTGCTGAGCGGTCAGGCGAGGGGAGAGGTGAGGAAGCACCAATGGGACTATTTCCACGATTGGCACAATGTTGCCACCATCAGATGTGCACACTGTGAGGAGTCCAGTGAGTGGAGCGGGCTGGTTCTGGGGGATTGGAATGGACCACTGTAGTACCTATGGTCCCAAGCTTCATATCTGTATCCCCCAGAATATGAATATGAAATGCCCATTTCTAATTTGGGGGCATGTGTGAATGTTTTATCTGGCTTTTGTTCATGTATGAGTCATGTCAACACTTGATCTTGCAGTCACCCCATGAAGAATGCCCACATGTGCTGGCTGAGTACATTATACAGCAATAGTCAACAGCTTCTCAAAAAAGTTAGTTTTCACATAATAAGACAAATTTATTTATCTATATACTCACTGCAGAATAGCCGGTTTCCCACAGATCAGTTTTTTCCAAAACATTTGGAAAATTATGAACACTTAAAAACATTTTATTCCCCTTAATGATTATTATAACTGGTTTTATGTAATGAAATTTGTATATCAAATTCTTGTTGAAGATAAGAGTTTATTTTGTGAGACAGAGGCAATGAAAGACTTTAATCAAAGCTTATTAGAGTATAAAATGCCATCACGACTACATTAATTGTTCACTTCAGAATTAACTGCTCTTTGTACTTGCTGCAGGAGTTTCTCAAGATGTCACCGTCTTCTTTAGTTTTGCCAGCCGTTGACTGTCATGCTATCAGTCATCTTTCAGACTACTTGCAGGAAACCTTGAACTCGACCGTAGTAAATGTGGATGGCCCTGATATAGCACAGTGGATGGTGAATGTACCCAGCAGACCCAGCCTGTTTGTGATAAACCTACAGCCAATCAGGAGGTAGGAGGTGGCATAGAGACTCGAACTCCTATCCGTGTCTAAAAATCATTTGTGGCTCCTTAAACTGAAGATTTTACATGAAATTCTATAGATAAAAGTAAAAAAGAATAAGCTATAAATGACAGCTAACACTTGTCTGTTGTGAACTTCCAAATGTGTATGTTTGCCCTATGCTCTAGAGCAGTGGTTTCCCAAACTTAGGTCTCCAGATGTTGTTGGACTACAATTCCCAGAAATCCTGGCCAGCACAGCTTCTGGGAGTTTAATCCGAGAACACAGGGGGATCCAAGGTTGAGAACTCTAGAGGAGAACTCTGCAAGTCATTATAATAACAGTTATTAGAATGCATGTTGTAGCCATTTGTAACTGAGTAGTGGTGGGGCAATGCTCTAAATCCTGGAACATCATCCTGCCACTGCTCAGTTATAGATAACCTCAGCACACTGTATCCATTCTACTTGGGACAATATCAACAGACATCCTCCTCTCACTTTCACACACTGAGAAAATGCATGAAGGGGAGACTGTGCAGGCTCCCCCTAATGACCACTGGAAATGCATGCATGTCTCCCCGGCCAGTGAACATTCATGAGAACAAGTCTCCACACAATATCTGTAACATTTTTTCTCAGTGCCTACAGGGATAGTGTTGAAGTGGCCAGGAGAGGCATGAATGAATGCAATGACCTGCAAGCTTTAGCAAATTGCATATCCAAAGTCATAAAAACATGCAGAGATTGTAGAAAGTCAAAACACAGAGAACTCTTAATACATTGATTCCACTTCAGAAACTCAGCCAAGTAATTTAAATAAATAAGTGTGGGTGTGAGGAACTTTGAAAGCATTTCTGAACACAGTACCATATCTGCCCAAAATTGTTTTTTCAACCTTTTAAAATTCAAAGCAGCTGTTTGGTGTAAAATTACAACTTCAGTTCTCTCTCTCTCTCTCTCTGCATCTCCACTGTTCTCCGGTAAAATTACAACTTCAGTTCTCTCTCTCTGCATCTCCACTGTGCTCCAGATGAGTCAAACTATAGTTCTTGTTGTCAGGAATAATAGATGCTGTAGTCCTAGACAGCTAGAGGACATCTAGTTGATGAAGACTATTTACATAATGTTATTAGAATAACAAAACTTCCAAATTATTCCTTGCTGTTACTCTTAGCAAGTGCACCATTTGAATGCACCATTCTAATCTTTCCTGTCGTTGGCTGAAAAAGAAAGAGGCAAAAATAGGACAGGCAATTCTAAGGTTTTTTTTTTAAAGAATGGATTGATTTTAAAATGCATAACAAACATGTAAAGTACATTGAGACCTATTTCATCTACTTGATCAGAGCTTTCCAACTTTTGTCCCCAGATGGTCTCAGAAATCCTGGTCAGCATGGCTAGTGGTGAAGGCTCCTAGGAGCTTAGCCCAGGAATAGTTGGGGACCCAAGATTGGGAACTAGAGATGGGCATGGGCTGCCAAACCAGCAGTTCATGCTGGTTCATTTTTCAATCGTACAGGCGTTGGCACTTCCCAGCCTTGTCTCCTCCAGTGGGCATTCACTCAGAGGCGGCACTTGGAGGAGGTGGGGTAGGGAATCCAGGGCATTTGCCTCTGAGTGGGCATCTGCTAGAGGAGGCAGGGCTGTTTAGTCGTGTCCAACTCGTGCTGGAGGAGGCAGGGCTGGGAAATGCCAAACACCTGTTCAGCCAAAGTGCAAACTTGTTCAGCAGTTCATGCCCATATATATTAGGAACCATTACACTAGACAATTTTTCTCATTTAGACCTAGTGGCTTGTTGGGACTTATTTCTTTGGAAGGTATGTTTTGAAAAAGCAGCAGTGTTTCTTTTCTCCCCCCAACACTTTTCCATAAGTGTGTGAGGGCATCTCAACCTCCTTCGCTGCCTTTCTCCACCATTTCTCCTTTGGTCTTTTATGGACTCTCCCACCACATGCCACCAGATGTTTCTCTAAATCCCTGGATGCTCAACATTCTGGCAAATCCCAGAACTGGTACTAGGAATATGATGTTTCTCTATATTAAATGAACCTAAAGTAATTTTAAAAAAAGATATTTCTGCTTTCCTGTGTTGCTTTTCTAAGATGACTTATCCGTGCATGCAGTCATATAGTTGTTGTCAGTAGTCTCATTAAGTAAAGTCATTCAACAGAGGCATAGATTATTGTGTCTGACAAGGATCTGATTATCTGTCTTATCTAATAATAGCTTGTTCTGCTGTCAGTTTAACCACCACTGGATTTGTTTCTAACCAGCATTTATTTTCTTTCTTTTTTTCTTCAAAAGCAAATTATCCTGAAAACACTTGATTCCTTAGAGAGAAAATTATTTTAAATGCCAAATGTAAAGTCTAAGTGCCAGACTACAGGGGGCACATTCATGCATCTCCATAGATGATGATGATCATCATCACAATCACTAGCTTTACTGTTGTCAATAGCAGCCATTTTAGATTTCTGTTTGAAGCATAACAAATCTACCAAACCCACAATCCTTTTTTAAAAGATTATTGTGTGGTGTGTTTCCTATCACATCTTTGTTGTTCTTGTTGCTGTTACTGCTGTTATTTTGGCATCTTATTTTTTTCTGTCTTCTAAACATTTGAGTGTAATGGAAAATTCATGAAAATAATTTCTAAAAAAACTATTTCAGTACATTTTTCTTCCAGTATTTTAAATTGTTATTTCAGTTTCTTTTCCCCTCTAAAATTTTAATTTTTCTTTTCATTTTTCCCCAATAGAATAAATGAACTTTCCACTCAAGAGGGGCTCATGGAAAATGGTAAGCAATGCACTTAAAAAGTTAAGCAAGGGAGATCATCCACACACAAAGCAGAGCTTCCATGTGCTCTTCCTTGCTGGTTAAAAAACTGTAAAGACTCCATTGTGAGTCTGTACTGGCATGTGGGCTGTACCTGTTCCCATCCATCACAATACTACTCATAGTCTCAGGCTTCGTATGTGTTTGGGGAAATGTTTTTTTTAAAATTACAGCCCAATCTTACGCAAGTTTTCAGAACAAAGTCCCATAGAGGTGAATGGGACTTGTTCCCAAGATAGAATGCATGCATTTGCAAAATTATTGTATAACTCCACTGAGATCAATGGTTGTTGTTATGTTCTGTCAAGTCCCTTCTAACTTGCCATGGCCCTATGTATTAGTGACCTCCAAAATGCTCTGTTAACAGTTGTGCTTACATCTTGCAAGTCAGCCCACCTTTTATTTAGCCTGCCTCTTGTTGACCATCTCTTCCCAGCATTTTCATCTTTTACAGTGAGATGTGGCTTCTCCTGATATGCCCATAGTATGATAGCCTCAATTTAGTGAATTTTGCTATGGAGTTCAGGCTTCATTTCATCTAGCACCCATTTATTTGTCTCCCGGTGATTCATGGTAGCCGTAAAGCTCTCCTCCAACATCCCATTTTGAATGGGCCGATTGGGCTAGATACAGATTCATACAGAGTCAAACATTTCCGGGAACGCATATTCCCTGAAAAATAAACTGTTGTCCTTCCCACAGTAGGGTTTTCTCAGGATAAGTGCCTCTACAATCATCCTTGCCAATTAGGCCCATTTTGTCTCCCAATGACCAATCCAAATTGGGGTAGGGATCCTGCCAAAAACAGGATTAAAGATATGTAAATATGAAAAATCACATGCACCTCACTCATGAGCAGCAGTTTGCTACTCCAGTGTATGCCATTTTGCTTACACAAACATTAACTGACAATAGAATTGTGACTAATAAGTCCTTAACTTTTTTTCCTTTTTCAGTCTCAGTCTGTCTGGACATCTGTTTCTGCCCTAATTCTGGCCAATGTTATAAATCCACCATGCGTTTCCCAGTGGGTCATCTGTCTTCCTTACTATTACTTTTCCTTTTCTGACTATTAACATCACATTCTAGTATGTTAGGTAAATTGTTCATTCCATGCTGAAATTCAAGTTTCTCCACATCTTCAGCTGATTTTCTAAAACTATTTTAACAGCTATCTGGAGGGCTTAATAGAAAATGGCAAAATCTTCCAAGAGTTCACTGGAGGGAGAGTAAGATGTCCTCTGAGGGTGCTTCCAGACAGATGGTTCCTAGAACTACCAATCAAAATGCAATGGGCAGCTGTTCCTTCTTTTCTTCCAAAACTGATTTTATGTGGAAAGGGGGGGGGGGAATACAGAAACAGCAGTGGGAAAACATAGAAGGGTTATTTAGTGAAAAAGGTTGTTGTCTTGAGGGCTGGCCATGCATTAGGCAAAGGGAAGCAACTGCCCAAGGCAGTAGATTTTGTATGTCATGAAAGGGGAGCAAATTGTTAGCTATTTACTTGGCTATTTTTATATTTTTACTGTCAGAGAAAAGGAAAAGATGCTGATGAGATTTCTGCCTAATGTACCAACTTAATTTGGCCTGCTTTTGATTCTGTGCACCCTGACTAGTGGTGATAGGGAAAATGGGCAACTCTGCCTCAGATACCAAGATGTCTTGGGCTGGTCCTGCTTGCCCCCAATCCTAAAATTCAGTACATGATCAAGAGTAATTCCATTATAAAAGCTTCATATGGAAGTACGCATGTGAAAGAGCAGATTTGAGCATACTGTGTAAAGCAGTGGTTCCCAACTTTGGGTAACTCGTGTTCCTGGACTGTAACTCCCAGAACCCTTCAGCACTAGCTGTGCTGCCTGGGACTTGTGGGAGTTGCAGTCCAAGAACACCTGGGTTTCCCAAGTTTGAGAGCCACTAGTGGAAAGGGTCTGTTTAACCTGTGTATGCTCTATCTCAGTGCATGCATTATCAAATTCATATCTCAGTGAAACTCTATCCAGTCATTTGCTCATGTGTAGAGTGAATATGAAAGTGAAGACTGCACTTCCCTCTTTCCTCATTTGCTCTGAACAGAGGGATGCTGACAGTCTGACTAGAGAGTTCTCCTGTTTATAGAGGGTATTTTCCTGTTCTGATTGTTGGCATTCAGATATTCTTAGTGACTGGAACAAGAGGTTGAGAGGATGGGGTTACAACATTCGCTTTGCTCGTATGTGTACATGAGCAAACAACTGAAGAGTGCTCAAGTCTTCTCCTTCCCTCCCCCGATCTCTCTCGTTTTGTTTGCTTTGCACCTTATCCTGTCATCTCCCTTTAAACACTTCAGTAGCCTCACGTACTTTCATGCACATCACCTTCAATAGTCCCCAAACCTCTGAACCTTTTCTAAACTTTTGTTTGCATCATGTAATGAAAACACAAAGCTCTTCAGGGTGACAGAAATGTCTCGGTCTGTTTTGTAAATTGTCACCTACACCATGTAACAGCGAACATTTAAATATTAATATGCATAGACAATTCTGAAAAACCGGCCTGTACTACCTTCTAAGGGTATTTTAGCTCTCTTAATGACATTGGTAAGCTATTACAAAACATTTCTGTTTACAGACAAAATGATTGGAAGGTTTATCCAGACTTGGCAGCAAGAAGGGGTCCAGTCTTTAGCCATTTACACAGCAAAGCGTCCTTCAAAAGTGAGTACTGTAGTTTCTAAAACATGGACTCATTAAATGTTTGTGAGATGGCACCTTGCAGGGAGTTTGCAATTGTACTGCAGCTTACCCCGTGGTTTGTGCTCGAGTTGGCACCATTAAATTTGACGTATCCTCCATCAGCAATACAACAACTGTACATCAGCTATATTGTAAGCTCAGCCTTTTATCATGAGTGTTTGTGGTTGTTTTGTTCAACCAGCAGAAGGCCATGTGTCTTCGTTGCAACTCTGCTCATATCAGTTTTTTTCTTTGTATGTATGATCTCCTATTTTGGTCCAAAGGGGCAGTGGTGGGTGCATCCCAGGGTGACTAATGTATTTTTAAAACTTGTGATAGCGCCATATTTATTGGACATAACACTATATTTGGTGAGGTAAAGGTTCCCCTTGATGTTTAGTCCAGTTGTGTCCAACTCTAGAGCGCGGTGCTCATCCCCATTTCCAAGCCGTAGAGCCAGCGTTTGTCTGTAGACAGTTTCCGTGGTCACGTGGCCAGCACGACTAGACACGGAACACCGTTACCATCCCAACATGGTGGTAACTATTTATTTACTCACATTTACATACTTTCGAACTGCTAGGTTGGCAGGAGCTGGGAGAAGCAACAGGAGCTCACGCTGTTGCATGGATTCGATCTTACAACTGCCGGTCTTCTGACCTTGCAGCATAGAGGCTTCTGCAATTTAACCTGCAGCACCACCATGTCCCTATATTAGAAGAGCATAAAAACTGTTCAGAGAAGAGACAAGAGGCATTCACTTCAGGGTCATGCTTTTGCTCTACTGAAATACAGCACCCTACTGAAAGGTATGCCAGTACAATGGCAACAGCACCTTAGTGACCATCTCTTCTCTCGCCTCTGAATATATATATATTCACTTCTCAGCATACCAGACTCCCAGTTTAAGGGTTTTCATTTAAAACACTGTCAAAAAGTGGATCATCATGGAGCCTCAGAAGTGACAAAGGAGGTCTCTGTGGTGCCCACTGGCATCCTCAGGACTATGGAGTTGTGGCATTAAAAAAAAAGGATATTGTACATATCTCAGTTTGAACAAGGGGCAGGAAGTGAAAGGGGAAAAGAAATAAGATGGGATAAGTTTTCACTGTGGCAGGGTTATTGGCCACTTGGGTACTCTCAAACAGATGGCTCTTAATCTGCACTGAGCTGTGTGAAAACATAGGCTGCTAATTTGTTTAAATAATGGGGGGGGGGAGGAAGAGTCATTTATTCATCTGCATAGGAAAATGTGAGCATCATTGCAGCCCTGCAGTCAGCAGAATAGATTTTAGTCTCATGGAGCTTTGTAGGCAGATTGATCATCCCATCAAATGACTGGGTTGGGGTTTGGTTGGGGACTGAGTGACTGTATTTCCTGTATATTTCTAGGGGACTTAAGCCCAAATGCAATTAGCAAGTTTCAGGGCTATATTTAGCCCTGTGGGACTAACAAAGCTTTACTATTTGATCTAGTACCTTTTAAATCTGCTGCACCAATTGCCTTACATTAAGGGAACACTGGTCAATGCAAAGGAATAAAACATTGAAGTCCCCCCACCCCATTCCACCTACTATGGTGAGATACAAAAGTAATGTTTTCTTTAAAAACTGAAGAAGCTACTGAACTAGAAAAGGCATTCCTTCCCCTTTCTTCTCATCTCCCCCCCTTTGAACACTGCTTTACATAAAAATAAGTGAATAAATAAAAAATTAACTTGCAGTTGCAGACAAAATACTTAATAATTTCCCAGCTAAGTCAGCCAGATTTCTACATGCAAAACAAAGAAAAGTTTGAAATAATTAGAGTAGAACTGCTTCAAGCTGGTTGAAGCTACCTGGTTCAGGGAATAAACATCAACCTAACGAAAAAGTACAGACTGAAAACATAGCATTCTCTTGTTATTCATTTCAGAGGTCAGTATTATATTGGGATAATAATGAGAGGCACAAATTTCTGCTCTAGAATCATTTCCTGGCACAGACAGTGCATCTCTTTTAATTCAATATTATAGTAATTTTCCTATGACAAATCTGGATTTTACAACTATTATGCCAATATATTTGTATCAAGATTTAAGGCAAAATATGCAAATACTGTAAGATATATAAATGGGAATGCCTTGATAACATTTGTCCTAAATTCAGGTCCATCGCCTAAACAATTTCCAAGGTTTTTCCTACCTGGAATGATTAAAAAGTGGAACAGAAGACTAGAAATTAGAACAGATAGCTAACTAGCTATACAGTGTACATAAATGTTGTTCTGATTTCCCAATTACTGTCCCCTGAAAGATTTTGAGGATTTAACCAAGTTATGACCCATGATAGCTCCAGAAGGTTCTTTGTTTGCAGATTTGACAGTAATAATTAAGCAAGCATTCTGATGCAGGACCAATAGGCCAAAAATGAAATAAGAATGATGCCTTCTGATGGACAAGAAGCCATCTGAAACTCCTTTCATATCACTATCATTAGTTTGGCCCAATATCATTAGCTGAGGTGGTACATCACGGCCTCTCCCAATTTGAAGAGACCCTTGTCCAGCAGGCCGAGGCAAAGAGGAAGTCACAAAGGAAGCAAAACCAGGGAGCTGGACAGGGGACAGATTGGATTTGTCTTCAGTGTGGAAGAGATTGTAACTCTCGAATTGGCCTCCTCAGCCACACTAGACGCTGTTCCAAGTCCTCCATTCAGAGCACGCTACCATAGTCTTTCGAGACTGAAGGATGCCTACTAGGTGACTTGTGACTAGAGAGAAGATGTTTGGGGTGAACCCCCCCAAGTCCACAAGCCACTTATAGCCATTAACCTCACCTAATGCATTTTCCACCTCTCTTTGATTTGAGGAAGGATGTTAACTCTTCCCAGTTAGCAAAATGAGGGTTAAATGGCACACAACTTTGAACAAGCAGCATGCAGCCGCCTATCTTTTCTCTCTGTATGCCAGAGTACACATTCAGCCCTGATCTGTATAGGAAAGTCCCCTCCCAAAATGCCCACGTTCAAAAAAGAAAAAAATGATTAGCCTCAGTTAAGCACTTTATTTTGTTAACCCTGTGCATGGGGATACAATTTAAAAGAAGAAATAGATGTGAGTTTAAATGCCACCCCCCCCGCCTTTGTATTCCTGAGCAGGATTAGGACCAAATGTGCTTTCTATGGAATAAAGAGCAGTAAGACACACACCTGTACCCTATAGGAAGGATCCAATGATGCATATCTGCTGAGCTATCTGCCTTCCATCAGAATTTGTGAGACCTCTCTCTTTTTCACTCCTGAAGTTCTGGAACAGGTTCACTCCTAGTATTCTTCAATCCATTTCTCTTCTCCTTAAGACACCTCTAACAAGTCCAATTGTCTGCTGAGCCTTTTTTTATTTACAGTGCTATTTGAGTGCTATCAGTTGGAGCTCTTGCTCCTGGACATCACCAGCAAATGAGAAGTACGAAGCTCTACTGCCTTTATAAAAAGTTTATTTAAAAAACAAACCTTGCTTCCAGGAATTTTGAAAAGAAGCGCTGTACAAAGCATGATAAGGGGAACATTGTATGGATGTTGGGGAAAATACCAATAAAATCAACACAGAGCGTGGTACTTCCAGGAGAATAAAAGCTTCTTCTGAAAGACCTCTAAAATATAACTCTCCTTCAAAGACAGTACAAAATTCTGTTTATAACAGCTTACACAGAAGTGTGGAGGGAGAAAGGGCATGCTCCTGAGTTCCCATAATGGAGAAAATGACATTCATTTATTGTAGTGGCAGTTATTTTTGCAGCTTTACACAGTTCCAAAATAAAGTATGTATGAGCCATGGTGCTAGCTGTAGAGGCCTTCTAATGATTTATTGCCTACTGTGCTCAAAGATGGTCATGAATGTGTGAGAAATGTGTTTTCAGAAGTAGCGTATTTCCTAAGTTTCATTTCATTTCTTTGTGAAAAGCCAAAGTGCCCATTCCGGTTTCAACAAGTTACTCTGAATCCTGTTTTGAAAATATCAAGCCTCCTGTGCACTTCTAAATGCCCCATTGCCTCAAATTTCTCTACTTTCTTCTTGTGAATAGCCTCTAATATAATGCTCTGAAGCATCCACCTAACTCACTGATCCATGCGTGCTGCTGAGGGCTCATTGACTTATGACTAATGTTTCTCCCTTTTGTGGATGTGTGTGCTCAGCTCAATATGGACTTGTATACACTGCCACGCTATTCATGTTTTCACATGCAACAATATATGTTTTTCACCTGTACCTTCTACAGAATCTGGTTGTAAAATGAGGTTTTCAAGTCTGTATTGCTAGTTCAGAACCATACATACATTTGAAACTAGATATTTATCTTTAATTATTGCCTTTCGTACTTTGACTTATCTTCAGGTAGGTGTATTGATTTTAAGGATATAAAGGAATAGTTTGTATGAATACAAGAGAAACTTTTCCATTATTCCCATGGATTAACAAAAGAAGTTGCTTGAAGTAATTTGAGATATGCAATCAGCCAGGCAAGGGCTGCTCATGACCCATAAGTGCTCTAGCCCCACAGGGCTACTGCAGAGAGCAGGGCTTCCTCACAGGTGGCACCCTGGTTATAGAAATCCCTTCTGTCAGAGATCTGGTAGTCCCCCCGTGTGCCAGTTAAAACCATATAACTAATTTTTGCAAGCTTTGAAGGAATCAGTGGGTAAGTGATTTGCCTTCAACTGCTGTCTGTCTTGTATTGGTTTTACAGTATTTTAAATTTCTTAATCTATGATCTTAGATATTTGGAGTTTTAGATGTGTGCAGTTTTGGGCTTGTGATTGATTGGTTGATTGATTGGATTTTTATCCTGTCCATCTAGACCAAAGGTCTACTCTATTAAATGGCGATTGTAGATATTTGGGATCTTAACTGTGTCCCTATGTGATCATTAGTTACCATGGGCTCTCAGCAGGTAAAGTGAGATATAAATCAGAATATTTACTTTTTCAGTCCTCCTTTTCCGTTTTCATGTGCAAGAATACAGTTGTCTATAGTTCAGGAATTATAATCTTTCATTTGCACTTCTAGTCATCCTAATTTCCGAAGCTGCTCTTCGTGGGGCATCATTTTGTTATAATACTTATTAAGTAGCTAGATTTTAATGTCTTTCTAATAAAACAAAACTTTATTTTGTGTAAAGTTCTATGCCTGGTTATCTAAAGGTTTGCTTGTGAACCTGCTTTTATCCTTCAGTCAACATACAGTACAAAACAGAAAGAAGTTTAAGACCTGATTCCTTTCCTATCATACTTTAAATATGATTTTTAGTTTTTAATTGTTTGTGGAATGTTTTGATGTGAAAATTTCTGTTGATAAACACGGCAGTACAAAAGACGAGATAAGAAGTATCATTCAGGGATTTTGTATTCTGCAAAATAATGACACATTAATCTAACATAATGAAAACTTAAAACATGTGGAAGAAGAATGGTCCAAATCTCTGGTTTGGGCACCTAATCTCATAGGGCCTTTGATGAAGCAGCAGTGAACTAAAGAACATGCTGCCGTAATGTTAGAAGCAACCCAGGTTCTTTGCTTTCTGACAACCAGAGGTCGGTATGTAACTGCTGAGTGAAAAACCACTAATGTTAGCATTAGGTATCAGGTAGAAATACCAGATATGAGTATTGAATGAATGGAGCTTTGAATGAATGAATGAATGAATGAATGGATTAATTAATTAATTAATTAACAACAACAACAAAATGACAACAACAACAACAACTACTACTACTACTACTACTACTACTACTACTAATTATTATTATTATTATTATTATTATTATTATTATTATTATTATTATTATTATTAATCAATTCTGGCTTATGGCAATTCTTTTCAGGGTTTCTTAGGTATAGAGTACTCAGAAGTGGTTTACCATTCCTTTCATCTGGGGGCACCCTGGGACTGTGCAGCTCGCTCAAAGCTATGCAGGCTGGATCATCTCCCAGGAGGCACAGTATGGAATCAAAATTCCCTTATTGGTGCCTGATGCTCCGCAGCCAAGCTCAGATGCCTAGCTCACTGCATAACCCGTTCCAAACTAACCATGTTAATCTGTATCTACTTCAGCCCAGCAGAAGTCAGCTTTCTAGTGCTAATATGGAACTGTCCTGTTTCAGTGCAAGCTTTTGTGAATCAAAGTCCACTTTCTCAGACGTTGCAGCATATTACTATATCCTCACCTGGTCATTGGGCTATATATAGATATACCAGATGTGTAGTAGAACTCCGCTGTCTGAGGATGCAGACTATTATCACATGGAAATAAAATTGAGAGAGAAAAAGAGAAACACAGGATGTGAAATTGCAAGGCTGTGATTGCACTGTGGAAGAGGGCTCCAAATTAAAGGAAGTATATGAGGGGACAGGGCCTTACCTAGATCTTCCTGACTTTGCTCAAATCATGTGAAGAAAGAGAGCATCCAAATGGAGCTTCTTTGAACACTATAAGCCATCTTTGCTTCTGGTCTGCCCTTCCATGAATTATGATAATTTGTATCAGAAAACACTGTGTGTTTTATTTTTTTATTTTATATATATTGTATAATCTAATAAGAAGTACTTTAATTGATGCAAATTATCATACTCATGCAAGGGCAGACCAGAAGCAAAGATATAAAATAAAAAAATAAAGCGCGCGCGCGCGCGCGCACACACACACACACACACACACACACACACACACACACACACACACACACACTTTATTTTATTTTATAAAAATCTTGCTAAAGGTTATGCTGAAACCTGTTCCCATTCTTTTTTTGAACTGCAGTTTATTTGGGTCCTTCCAGCTCAGTCAGGATTACTCAGTATTAGTTAGTGGCACACTTTAAATATCAACCCTGAGTGCTCACTGGAAGGACAGATCTTGAAGCTGAGGCTCCAATACTTTGGCCATCTCATGAGAAGAGAGGACTCCCTGGAAAAGACCTTAATGTTGGGAAAGTGTGAAGGCAAGAGGAGAAGGGGACGACAGAGGATGAGATGGTTGGACAGTGTCACCGAAGCAACCAACATGAATCTGACCCAGCTCCGGGAGGAAGTGGAAGATAGGAGGGCCTGGCGTGCTCTCGTCCATGGGGTCACGAAGAGTCGGACACGACTAAATGACTAAACGAACGAACGAACACTTTAAACATACTATCATATGCATACTATCAATTGCCAGGATTTATTTATTGTTTATTCACAGAAAGTGGCAGCTCACTTTTCTTCCCTACAATACAATCTAATAAGAAGTATTTTAATTGAATTCTCTGTGTTTCATTGCTTCATTTTAGGGTAGGATATACCAGCAGCTAGACTTCATTAAAGGAATTATGGCACACTTATGAAAGTAAATGCTTTGGATGTCAGAAAATAAATGTATTATTTACTGCATTCCTTCTCTCCAAAATCAAATGATTCCCCATAGCTCAGTCATCATTTCTTCTGACATAATCTTATTTACTCTTATTAAGTATTAAGATTCTCACTAGACAATGTGCTTAGCCCCATTGTCCCTTAACATGCAGTCAATTGATTAAACATGGTATAATTTAGTCTTTATACTCTCTTCTCTGTAGAAAATAAAGTGATCACACTTTGGGAGCAATACGAGAGATTATTATTTTTTTAAATCAAAAATGGAACAGTTGTGCTCTTCCTTCACCATGCATTCCTTTACTGAAGGGAAGATTTCCTTTGTTTAAAGCTGCTGGCCATGATCTAGCAAAAGTTGGTTATGACCATCGACTTACTCCATCAATGACTTGTCAGCAGGGCTAGAAAGGGGCAGCACGTCCCACCTCTGGTCGCTCAGGACAAGGTTGAACAGGAGATCTTCCTGCTAGTTTGCAGGCTGGACACACAAACAAGAACCTGGGTGTTCTTGGGTTCTGCCTTCTGTGTAGAGCCTACACAAGAGCAGGAAATTTTCCTCTTCAGACTTGTAACTTCCAGAGTAAGCTAAGTGGTAAGAGAGAGGGTGGCATTAGGGTAAGGTAAAGTCTGAGTAGGACTATGATTGCATTGAAGGGAGTCTTGCAGTCTTTGGAGATATTGCTCACTGCAAAATGGGCCTCAGTTTGTGTCCAGGCTACAGCACTTCAGGCTGCAAAGCAGAATTCTGACTGTTCACATACGGCAGTGGCAGGAATCTAAAACAAGAGTCCTGTCCTCTTCACAGCTGCTGCTTCCACCATTAGCTCCCCTTCTCCTCCTTGCCTGAGTTAGGTTAAAAGTTAATACAGCATTCTAACAAGTTTTAAAATGATTCATTTATTTCAGGTTCTGTATGTGCTTAGATGGACATGGCATTTAAATGATCAGCTGTGAATTATATCTGTGTTACCTTTCAATGTTTTCATCTCAGCATTTTCCTTGAAATAGGTTTCTTATGCTCTGGTTCCAGGTACCAATGAAATCTGGTGTAGCATGGCACACTAGACGACAACTTATGTCTGCTGAAGATCAAGAAAATAATGAATATCGGCCACTGAATGTGACCAGTGAGGCCAATGGCACAGATACTCCATGCATCCTCTTTTATGCCACTAATTTCAGTCTTATAGCCAATGGTTCCGAGCTCATAGATCTGACAAATTTAACATTCCTGCATCAGAATGTGGATTTCAGTCTATCGAATTGTTCAGACACTAATACAATGTAAGTAATATAAAAATATAGTTTCACTACCAATGGTTTTTGACAGTTAAATATAATACTGACCAAACAAGCTAATTTACTACCACCACCACCACCACCACCATAGATAGCTTTACAATTCAGTTTAAGCAGGGAATTGAAATACAGTATATAACATAGAAAGAGTGGGATAAAGATGAACTGTGATTTTGCATGTATCTCTGCCCATTGCTTTGCTCTCTATAGTCCTGGTCTTCCTCATTTTCCTGTTTGTCCTATAAGGTATATGATCAAGAATGCAATCCAGTTTGTTTACATTCATTCAATTTACATTTATCTGCCACCTTTCCACAAAAACAAACAGGTGGTGAACAAGGGGAAGATGCAATAGCAAAAAAACAAACAAACAAACAAAAAAAAAACACACACACACACAAAAAGACCAAACTTAAACTTGCCTCTCCCTTTGTTAATTGAGGAAGTTCCTGATGCGTGTGCAGAGCAGACAGAATAATGACCAGCCTGGATTTTGTTTAAGAAAATGTTACAATTTATTGCACATTAAGAAAAGATGGCATCCTATTAAAGGGGAAAAAAGTTAATGTGGAATCTCAATGCAGGGAGCTGTCCCTGGGCACAACTTAACACAACAAAATAGCCATCCAACGTGAAGCAACGTTAAAAGAAAAATTCCCCAACATGTCTGCTTGAATACTATTTTATTATATTTTCTAATATTCCTGTGAGTCTGTTGCCACTCTCTCTATCAAGGCATGTAATTTCACCCAGATATTTCAAGTACTTAATTATCAGACTTTGGTAGTACAGGTATGCTAGACCAGTGGTTCTTAACCTTTGATACTCAGGTGTTTTTGAACTGCAACTCCCAGAAACCCCAGCCAGCAGAGCTGATGGTGAAGGCTTCTGGGAGTGGCAGTCCAAAAACATCTGAGGAACAAAGGTTAAGAACCAGCGTACTAGACCAGTCTCTGTTGTTCATAAAGTTAAATCAAACAAAGCAAAGGTGCTCACGGCCAGTCAAAATTCAGGTCAGGGTATAGGGATCCTGCCTGTATTGGATGGAGTGACATTCTTCCTGAAAAGCCTGGTTCACAGCTTGGGTGTGCTCCTGGATCCAACCCTGAGCCTGGATGCACAGATCTCAGCTGAGGTCAGGTCTGCGTTTGCACAGTTAAAACTTGTCTGCCTGTTCCTTGACATGTCTGCTTTGGCTATGATGACACTTGCCATAGCTACGTTGCATCAGGACTACTGCTGCGCACTCTGCTTGGGGTGCCCCTTGAAGAGTGTTCAGAAACGTCAGTTGGTTCAAAATGCTGCCGCCAGACTGCTGATTGGTGCTGGTTACAGGGAGTATATAATTCCCTTATTTCACAGGCTGCCAGTCTGTTTCTGGGCCCAATTCAAAGTGCTGACCTATAAAGCCCTGTACAGCTTTGGGTCCAGGCTATCTGAAAGACTGTAATTCCCCCACGTGGGCCTTCTTTTTAGATCTTCTAGGGAGAACTTCCTTTCAGCAAATTTTCCGTGGCTGCTCCCAGGCTATGGAAGACGCTAGCTCAAGAAGTAAGGCTATCCTTCCATCATCAGGCAAAGGCTTTTAAACAATAAGTGGGGATTTTTAGGAATGCTGTATTTATAGAATTTAGAGATTTTTAAAATGTTCTAAAATTGTTTTTAATGGTGGCTTTAATATTGTTAGACATTTAATTGTTTTTAATATAGCTTCTTGTAATGTTTTTAACAGTGATCATTGTATTCCTTGTTTGTGAACTGCCCTGAGCACCCTATTGGGAGAAAGGAAGCATATAAAAACATAAATTATGCTCACAGCCCTGAAGCATGATAGGGTTCTGACCCATCATTGTGTTTGCTTCCAGCCACTATCATCTAGCCATATGGCCATAGGGCTCAAAAGAGAGAGGAGGCTGCTAGTAACTGAAAGATCCCTTGGTGATCCTGATTGGTTGACCCAGTTATCAGCAGCATCCCTACATGACATCACAGACTACCTTTGCTCAGAATGTTAACCGATCATTCCAAGCCATTCTAGTCATGTTGCAAGCCTGTATCATGATGAACAATGACTTTTTGTTTAAAGGGGTGGATGAATCTGTTGCCATGGCAACAATAAATCAAATGTGAAAACAAACGAATATTATTTAAAACAGGAACACAAGGATAGAGTCACAAAAACGATGTAAATGGCCCAATTGAAAATGTTTGTCTGTGTCTTTACTAAAAGCAGCAAGAATGGAGAATCTTGACTGTAATTCCAAAGGAAATGCATTGAGAGCCCAATTGGGGAGCAGCACAGATCAAGTGGCCCTTTTCTGGTTTTTAGTGACTGGATAAGCTTATAGAGTGCATTCTGTTGTATAGCCAGACCCTAAGCCCTATTGAGGGAAGCTTTGTGAATTCAGCTATTTCTGAATTCTTCCTTGTCCAAACTGTCTTTGAATTCCTGATCTTCACATTAAAAGAACTACTCGTTCTGTTTATATATGCTTATGAGAAGCAGGCTAAGAATTGTGCCAACATGCTTTCTTTTTCCTTTATTCCACTGTTTATTTCTAGAAAAATAATCATGCAGGATTTATCCTCATACACACCTCGCATACTGTGCTCTTTTTTCTCATGCCCTCATCGCATTAAGCAACACATCTTTTCTCACCCTCCACTGTCATTATATGGGGCTATTATTTCATCGTAAAGTTTCTTTACAGTAAAATCCTTGGAAGTGCCTGAATTTAAGTGAGTTGTAAATATCTTCATAGATCAAGGCCTTCTGTATCCTCCTCCCTCCTTTTGTTTGCTACAGGGATGAGAAAATGACTACTTCCTGTGTTGTGTTACTTGTATCTACTGTTTCTCTGTATTTGTATCTACCAAATTAGAATGAATTGTTTTAAAGTAATGAAATCATTTCATTTGAAAATGGTATAGTGTTAACGATGCCTTTTTCCCATTTCACCCTTTTTCCTGTTAGATTGTCATTAAACTATATCAACCCAAAGAATACCAGCCAACATGTCATCCAGAGCCTGAAAATAAGGTACAGGATTTTATAATCTATAAAATGTCTCCACCTACATTGTATCAAGGAATAGACGGCTGTAAAATGAGTGTCAGACTCCAAATACAGATTATTCAGTTCACAAAGCTTTTTTTTCCAGGATAAAAGAGGATGAGCTCAAGAAACTGTGAAACTTGTTCCATAAACTCCACAGGATTTTGGAGATTTGCCTCCACCCCATCACTTAGAAACAGTGTATACAGTAAACTAGGCCTCCTGCTGCTGCTTCTACTACTGCTTTAATTCTTGTTCTATCTTTTCTTTCCAGAAGCAATCAATTCAAATCTAGCTCGGGTTCACTTGAAGACGAAACAACACTAAAGACACATTTAACAACAGGCAGCACGCAGCACATGTTCAATGTAAATGTCTTGCGCTGCTGTTTAGATTCTGTATGATTTACGTTCCTATCTTGTCAGAAGAAAACCTCTTGTACTCTGTCCCTGAAAACATGTTTTGGGGAGGCTTGGCTTTAACGTTTCATTTCCAGTTCTGTCTGATATCTAGCACTAGCATCTTCCTGTTTTTCCTGAATTTGAAGGAGAACAGCAGAGGCTTGCCTTTGCTAATCCATTCACAGCTTGTGCACATGGCTGGGTTGGAGCAGAATGAATAGGGTCACTAGGAGGTCCATTTGGGGTGATTCTTGCATCCAGGTGGTATATGGACCTCAAGCTGATCATATTTGGTCCATTCTTGTAAAAAAAATATGTATTAGGCATATGCATTACAAGTTATCTTTAAAGGAAGATCACCTCTTTTAAATGTCCAGTCAAGAGAGAAAAGTTCACTTTTTCTGCCCTTCCATTTAGGAGCAAAGGAAGTGTTTAACTGTTTCACAATACTGCCAGATCCAAACAAGAAACGCTTTTTGGTTCTTTCTCAGTGATCACATGTGCTGGGAATGGATCAAAAGAGAGCAATCTTACCCACTCCAAAAAAGTAGAAGCCCTTGACAGGGGCCAGAAAGGTGGAGACAGGACTGCGCTGGGGGCAGGCTGATTCCCTCCAGTAAAGATTTTGTCAGATCACCATCTTTAGGATGGAAACAGCCCATCCCTGTAGGACCACACAGCAGGCTAAATGCCCATGTGGTCAGCCACTCACTTCATCTGTCCATTTACATCTCCCTATTTATTAGGCAAAACATGTACCAGTCACATGCTAAATCTAGACCAGGTTCATACATATTGCTTCCTTTTTCATCATTTGATTACTCAAAATTGGATGAGTCATAACATATGTGAGAGGTGTTCATTGATTGGACCAATAGGGCTCAGAAGTATTATGTTTGCAAGGTAGTGAGGTGAGAGTCTGTGCCAGGGTTTTCCCTGCTTTGCGTGGTGTACCAAAGAAGAGTCAGAGTGACATGGAAGGAATTCTCAGTTTGTTTGCTTATAGCTTTCTCATACGTGTACATCCTGTCAATTTACATCTGATGTATAGCAAATCTTTAGGGCCCCCAAAGGGAAGCATCCCACAAAACTATTACAACAGCAGCAAAAAACAAACTTAAAAAAAAACCTCATGATTTTTGTTGTGTTGCACAAGCTAGTAAAAACTGCAGCACTGAATGGGTTGTGTTTTTTGCTTAATAATCTTTATGACCTATCAGCCCCTCCTTTGGGGTTTGCCACATGTGTGTGTGTTTAGCTTCAGAAAAGAGAAAGACAGACATTTTGTGCAAATTATAGGACATATGAGCAAAACAAAGAGCTTGTTGTTAAACAGAGATGGGCACAAACTGGGCAAGGAGCTGGGCCTGCTGTCTGTACGCATGTGCCTACTGGTCAGCTGACGGGTGGGAACATGCACACAGGCAGCAGGCCCAGTTTTCATGCAAGGAGCCAGGCCTGCTGCCACTCAGGATGGTGGCCTTTCGAGACTGAAGGATGCCTAACTAGGACATATGAGCAAAAAAAAAGAGCTTGTTGTTAAACAGAGATGGGCACAAACTGGGCAAGGAGCTGGGCCTGCTGTCTGTACGCATGTGCCTACTGGTCAGCTGACGGGTGGGAACATGCACACAGGCAGCAGGCCCAGTTTTCATGCAAGGAGCCAGGCCTGCTGCCACTCAGGATGGTGGCTTCAAGGCAAGGTAGGCAGGCGATGGGGACTGCGGGAGGGAAGGGGCAGGCATCCCATTTTGCCAAAGCAAAATGAAGTGCTGAGGGGGGAACTGTTTGGTGTTTCATTTCATTTTGGCAAAATGGGATCCCCAAACTGAACCATGAACTAAACCATGAACCAGCCCATTTCATGGTTTTTCCTGGTTCCTGGTTTGGTTCATGCCCATCTTTAGTGTTAAAGCCTTTTAAGGTCATAGAATGGGGTTTCTGGGAGCGGCAGTAAAAAAAAAAAGGGATTTCCCCCCACCAAGCCCTGATATGTGCTAAGAGCTGAATTGTTTGAACTTCAGGTACCCAGAACATATGGGTAAATTGTGTGAATTGTTTTTATGCTACTCTGTTGTAAGCCGCCCAGAGTAGACGCTGTCTAGATGGGTGGGATATAAATTAAATGAATAAATGAATAAATAAAAGAGTAAAAGAATAAAAGAAAGAAAGAAAGAAAGAAAGAAAGAAAGAAAGAAAGAAAGAAAGAAAGAAAGAAAGAAAGAATGAATAAATAAATAAATAAATAAATAAATAAAATGTTCCCCTTCCTTACCTGTATGATTATTTAAAATTCTTTAGATGGTTCTTAGCTGAATTATCATTGTACTGTTTCCTCTAATTGTGAAGGTCTCAAAAGAGAGGTTGCCCTAGCTATGAACTGGGCAATCACAGCCGCAATGCAGTCAGGTAACCTAGCGTACAAATATATGAGAACACACCAAAATGGTTTCTCAGATCATATTGGCACGGCTGTAATTCATAGTCCTTGGCCTCCAACCCTGCCTCACATAATGGCTTAATGAGTAGAGGACAGATTTCTGTGGGGAAAATAGAATTTGCGACTGAGGTCAAGCTGGAATGACTAGAAGGCAATTTGTAACAAGTAATAAAGACCATCTTGGGTTTAAGGAAATAGAATAACACTGGACATGATTTCAAATTAAAAAGCTTAAATCTTTTGCTGCCATGGTTTGCAGCACTATTATTAGAAGGAAAGAAAATGGTTCACAAAACTAAACAACGTTACAAAACAGCAGTGCTATCTTCCTTGAGAATAGCTACAGGCAGTCTAGAAAATGAAATACAGAATCAGCACACAATTCAGAAAATGTTATAGAACCCTGCACACTTGCTCTTCTTCAGTGAAGATGTTAACATGACCTGTAAGCAGATGTATTTTAATATTGATAGGAAATATGGTCATCCCATGCTTTTACCCAGTAAACTGCCTCTTGATAGGTATAAGTCTTTCAGCCTGCTGGGGGAGAACAACTTCTCCAGTGGGTGAGTAACACTCACTGGATAAAACACACATGCCCTGTGTCTAGTATTTTTGAAAAGGAGCAGATCAGAAATACCAGATCAGATGAGCTGCGGAAACGGTGTTTGCCTTCGGGACAAGCTCCCTTATCCCATGCTGGAATGCTCATCTGTTTAGCCCAATGTTGCTATTCCTATCCACAGTAGGTGTCAGGTAGAGAGGTCACTCCACCCATCACTTGATTCCAGATTCATTTAGTTGAAAATGCAAAAAACCAGCCACCACTGCTAGGTAAGCACAGGGCCTGAAAATATTCTTAGATTATAACCCCTAGAAATCTGTAGTTCAAAAAGTAAAATTTCCCAGGTTTTGGTAAGCCTACCAGGGCCCACTAACAGAGTAAGGGAACCACCAAAAATACCCTGTTTTCCTGAAAATAAGACCTAACCTGAAAATAAGCCCTAGTAGGATTTTTCAGGATGCTTCTAATATAAGCCGTACTCCAAAAATTAGCTGCATTTAAGTGAAACCCTGCCTTCCACCATTGTGCAGCAACCAGAAGAATGTGACGTGACTGTATTTGAATAAATGTGGATTGTTGTACATGAAAAAAAAATCCCCTGAAAATAAGCCCTAATTTATTTTTGGAGGAAAAATTAATATAAGACCCTGTCTTATTTTGGGGAAAACACGGTATTTGACCCTTTTGAATTACTTTGAATTAATCTATATTTATTCAAAACATAAGTACTTTTGACCCCAGGCAGTAGAACATTCTTTTCTCCTCCTCAAGGAAAACTAACTTGCCTTCTCTCTGTTCTATGGCCTCGTCAAGCTGAGATTCGTATAGCTTCTCTGTGAGTGTAACTGGGAAAACAACAATCCATCAAAATCCATGCTTGCCTCCTTCACTGATGCACCATGCAGGACAATCTTTGGAGACCCCTTGTCACCATCAAGGTGCATGGTTTCATACAAATAGATAGCAAATATCATCCTAACCCTGTATGATGGACCACTGCTTATTCCCGTGCAAAAGCTGGTGCTGCAATTTGAAGCAATATATCCTGTGTTTCCTCTTCTCTCTAGTTTTCTGATGACCAACAAGTTCTATGAAGGTTCTGCTCGAAACTGGTTCACTCTAGATTTTGTTCATATTCAACAAGATGACAGGGATGTTGCTATATTTAATGTCACCGATATCTCTGCCCCTGCGGAGTACTCATTCCATTGCCAGCTGGTGGGAACCAATGCCCTCGATGGGGTCACGCTTATTCAAGCCAGTGATGAAGCTGCAAACTGGGAGGTTCTCATTTCTGAGTTCCAAGTGAGTAAACATTGCCATTTCTGAGGTAATTCTAAGAGCTATCACTTGCAGTAGGCTTTTCTGTGAGGCTTGTATTGAAAATCACCTTCATTATTTCTTCAGCCCTCAGTGAAAGTTAAGAGAAAGTTCTTTCCATCAGCACCTCCCACACACATTCTGTATCTCTGATGAGCTAGTCAGTAACAAGAAGACAAGAAATAAAGAGGGTAGGGGAAGAATATGAATGGCGAGAGCAGGAAAATACACTGAAAAAGAAGACAAAACTCACCACCAACCAGAAAGCCACCCACAGAGATAATTTTATTGATTTATGAGTTAACATTTAAATCCTGGTTTTCTCTTTAAAAAACTGAAGACAACATTCATGGCTGTCTTCTTCTCTATCCCCACAGGTACCCTGTGAGACAGAGTTGTTACAGAGTTTTGTATTTCTGTTAAATTCCTCTAGCTGTGCAGCAGAAGTGAAGGGGTTCACAGGGCAAGATAGCTTCAAGTTCCCCAGAGTAGAATCCCCCCTAAATAATTTACTGTGAGACATTAAGAGCAGAAAGAATTAAAACGTTTTATTATGATGAACAGCAAGCTGACAGACATGACTGCTTTCAACAGCAAACTTCATCAGACTCAAGAGAGGGGAAAAAGAGCTAAGCAGAGAGATGAGATTCTCTTGAGTTCAGAGGCAGGAGGAAACTATTGGTTAGTGCTGGATAGATAGACAGTCACTCCAGCTCAGAAAAGCTCGCTTCTAGCCACACCTTGGAGTTATTGCAACCTCATATGCTGTCTTTAGTGGGAGTGTCAGAGAGGGGGCTTTCTAGTTTGGTGTGGCTGTAAATCTATCCAGCTCTAACCAATTGTTCTTTCCCTACCTCTGAATCCAAGGAGAGCCTTGCCTCTCTGCTCTATCGCTCTCTTTTCCCTCCTCTCTGTTGTCTATTGGCAGTTAGGAGTCTCTTCTGACCTCTTGGAGAAACAGTCATGTTCTTAGTTTGCTGTTTGATCTATTCACAACTGCAAATAAAGAAAATGTTTTTTTTATTCTTTCTCTACAGAGTGAGTTATTGAGACTGTAAGTTCCAGTTAATGAGAAAAAGGGCTAGACTGCTCTGGGGAACCTGAAACTAATTCTGCTCCATGAATCCATGCACATTTGCTGCAAGCTAGAGGAATTTATCAGAAATTCTAAAACTCCATAACAACCTTCTCCAGGCAGCATGTGAGGCTGTAAAGATTCCAACAATTGTATCCTCCCCACATACACCAATTAGCCCTGCAAGTATCTAGAAAGATTTGAGCGAAAGTCTCCATTGCCCCATCTATCTTAAGCAATCACAATTCTCACTTTCTGATAATATCAGAAATCCTTCAGCTAGAGTTCACTTCATCAAATGCACAATGTTATCTCCTCAATTGGCAGGCTTTACAGAGCTATGAAAACTATATTTTCAAGGCATGGCACATTCTTTGTTAAAACCGCTAAAATGTTATTCTTTATGCAATCAAGGAGACCGTTTGTCCTGTCTAGAGATGTGAAAGTTTAGGAAAAGGTGACAAGGAAAATTTATGAAAAGAATCCATTTCCTTGGTTGTTAGACAATGAAAAGAGGTAGTGGATATTTTTTCCCATTCTGTCCTAGCATTTTTTAATGTTTACTGTTCTTCAAATTTTCTGTGCTTCTTCATTGTTTATCAAAAGCCACAAATGTTAAGAATTTGATTCATATTTGATAGCATTTGTAAGTTCATTTGAAAAATATGTTTGAAATTAAATCTATCATTATGAAAGGTGAAATAAATTGAAAAAAAAATCCACTCAGGATATATAGTACAATACATAAAATTCCAAATGATCATAAAAATACGTTGGTTCCCACAGAGAGGGACTGTGAGATACAGGGGAAGAATGGATCATTTTAAGCAGAAACATAAGTGGACAAGGTCTTTTTTTCCATGTCAAACAGTGCTATCAGGGAATCACATAACCTTTAATGTTAATTATTTAAAATATTTTAACCCTGTCTCTCTCCTTAAAATATCTCAAGGCAGCTCACATCATTAAAATGCAATATTTAAAGTTAAAAAGAATGAATATACAAAGGTGGGTCACATAATTAAAAGAAAATAATGAAAGATAAAGAGTAAGTGTATAGATACTAAAAAGGATCACACAAATACCATTCTGAGAAATGGTAAATAAAACAATACTAAAGACACATTCAAAGTAATAAGGTATAACAATCCATCTAAAAAGATCACTCTCAGGGAGCCAGTCACTGAGGAAAAGTCTTCCTGAAGAGAAAGGTCTTTGCCTCTTTGGGAAGGACAGCAAAGATAGGGCCAGTCTGGCCTCCTGTGGGAGGGAGTTCCAAAGTCTGGGAACTTGCTTATAACCATAACTATATGCCAACTATACATGCAGCAGCCTTGTGGGTTCGGTGCAGTAGCTTGTTATGGATCTGTAAATGTAACTTCATTCACTCCTACAATAAAGATTGCTCCTGAGCTTCTGTAGATTATCTGTATGACTATAGACCCAGACAAAGTGTGACATGCCCTTATAGTATCCTACAATTGGCAACTGGCACCTACTCTGCGAAAGCAGGTTCCTCTATTTTCAGCCAAAGGAATTGTTTTGCCAGGGGTCTGTTTCATTGCCTGTTCAGCCAGGCATCTTTTGCTTGCCCTATACTTTATTGTCCATTTCTAAGGAATCAGTATCAGATAAACTTTTGCTTTTGGATAATACTATTAAAACCCCAGACTCCATTCCCAGTGTCCAGTCCCCAAAAGAGCAAGCTGGTTTTGCTAAATGCAAAGATGAGGAAAGCTTGTGTTGAGACAAAACATACAGTATGTCTTTTATCAATTTTTAAAGCTCCGCTTCTAAATACAAAGCTGTCCACCTTTTGCAGATTGACCCCAAAGCCTACACAGTTCTTTCAATGGCAGACAGATTTTAAGAGTCTCTTTGTAGTTTTCTATTCTTGTAGTAAGTTCTTCGAATTAGCATCCCCTCATCTAACAAATCCTTGTCTAGTTGTTTTATTTGTTCAGTATGTAGCAGACTGTTGTTTAAGAGCTTATTGATTCCACATTAGAATTTCTGCAGCAGTACATGTTAATCCCCAGTGCAAATACTGTGCCTATTTTGATTCATGTGTGTTCAAGAAAACTGAGAAACATCTCTTTGTGAATGTGAATTACTAGGACTGATTTGTTAGGATGCACTGCTGCCAAGGTTCAAAGACCTGTTGTATTCATATTTTCTCAGAATGTGTACAAGTTCATTGATGAATCTACAGAGTACCCCTAGTAGCGGTCCTCTAAATTGTAGCTAAGTGGTCTCCCTTGCAAGGCCTTCCCCCACCCCCAGTTTTCTTATGTGGGAGACATTGATTATATATCCAACTGGAAACCTTCTTCCTCGCTATAAAACGAAGCTTTTTCCTTGTGTCATGCACAGTATATTGGTCAATGGCAAAGGGTTTGTTAAGTACTGGCATAGCATTATGTCTTAGATGAACAAAGATATTTTCAGTGTGCTCCATGCTTTTATTGCATCCAAGGATAATTAAATGTGATGATGGCTGGGGAACCTGCCTGGTTTCTGTGCCTCCCAATATCCCACTCTGAGCCAACTGAGTATTGCTTTCAAGGAGTTCCAAAAAGATCCACAAGGTTAAGCATTTAAGACCCTCACGCCAACCCTGCAAGGTAAAACTGCCATCACACCCACAATAATTACCAACTCCTGGTAGATGGTTGAGGCAAGATCTGGCTTTAAGTACCACAAACCCTCTTAGCTAAAAATCCAGATAATTGGATGGAAGTTTTTATATTTTATTAAAGATAGTGGAAATGATTTTTAAAAAAGCAATAGTTTCAAAAGGTTTCAAAAAGGCATCAAAAATATCTGGAGCAAACAATCAATCTAAGATATGAGCAGTACAGAGACAACACACCATAAAATAAGAAAGCTATCTAAGCTACCCTGTACTTACATACTAGCATAGCATCAGCATAATCTTAAAGCATGCACTGAGTGCATCCCTTCTGGCACAGTAAAACAGAACACTAACTGAGCATAGCATCTCCTGAGAGACAACTAAACCAACTAAAATAACTTCTGAACTTCCTTTTTATACCTTATGAATCACCTTCCAGACCTTTCGAGATACTCCACCATTGCCTTCAGAACCCCTTGTATGTTCATGAAGACAAGAGCAGTTTCTGCCCCCATCCCTTCTAACATAGCTAAAGCCATTTCCCACTTACCACACTACCAGAGAATAAGCCCTCCCCAACCTTGAAGTGTTTGCCCAAAATATAAACTACAGGTGGTACTTTCATTCCTTTGTGCACAAAAGCTGCTTCCACCATTCTCCCAGCCTGCCATTCCCAGACACTGAGAAAAGTCTGAATCTTCCAGAAAGGTCCTCTACTCATGCTCCTCCCCCCCCAATTTCTGTTTCTTCACACTTACTTGTTGTCAAAAATATAGATTCAACTGGCAGTTATCTGTGCTTTGGTTTTTAAAATAAGGTTCTTGTAGAATTTATCATGAGCTAACTTGAGTAGCTGACAGATTTTTCCATTTTTTATGCCTGTTGGATGCCAATTTTATTATACCATGTTAGATTTTAAAATTGTTGATTATTTACAGCCCCTTGGAATTTCATGTGATAATGACATGGGCTGAGGAGAAAGAAATTTCTGAAATATATAAACATGGCAAAATGTCTTCTGTTTCTGAAGCATCTCCACCCTAAGCCTAGTACATCATAATTAGCGATAATTGAAACTGTACAGGAAATGAAGCAATATTTGCAGTCTGGTTCTGCAAATCTGTCAGTATTACAAGAATACATTTATGGGTCTGCAAAATCCCCAACAAATTCCACAGCAGACATTCAGACTCTTTCTATGACTGAGAGATTTTGTCTTTGAAAGCAAGCACGGTAAATCTAGAGGGTACAGATAATGCCAATGGGGGAAAAGATGGTTAGAAAATTCCTCATTGATGAAGCCAGATCATTACCTATGAATATTGATTTTAATGATCAGGCCTTCTTTCTATATTAAAGTCCTTGTATTTAAATGGTTAAACAAATAATTTCCTCCTCTATTTAAGAAGTGTTGTTAGTCAATGATAGAAAATAAACATCATATAAATTTCAAGTTCAGCTCCTAGGATTCCCCATTCAGTCTCTCCATTCCAGATAAAACCAATTTGAAGCACTTTGCATATAAAACTGGAGAACTGGGTTCAAAACACATGTTGAAACATTCCCCTGAACTTTAATAAAGCAGTTTTATGGATACATTGACCAAATTCCTGTTGTGTAAGTTAATTCTGTGAAAGGTTGATGCCATCACCAACAGAGGGAGATTTTTATGGTAATTAGAGTGCCTTTTTCTATTTTGAGACTCCGATAGATTACACACAATGAAGCTGATTACACTTGAGTCAGACAAACTGCAAGAGAGAAGAAGGAGCTCTTTGATTACAGAAAATTTCCCTTTGCCAGTCATCACCCTTCTGCAGATAAAGAATTTTTGGCCATTAAATGTAGTTTAGCAGTACCGAAGCAAGGTGCTGCTGCTGACTTACGGGTTTTTTGAGGGCCATATCCTTAAAATACCCCACATTGTTCAAACCTTAACTTATATTTCCCTTTGGTTAAACAAACAACACAGGCATGGAGTTAATAATCACATGCCATGTTGAAGTAGGACATGAAGTACAGATTCTTGATGGCTCTCTCCTCCCTCACCCTCTTTTCTGTTGCAGATTCAAGCTTTCGGTGTCGAAAGCAATGCATTTTCCTATGCAAGTGACTGTACATCGTTCTTCACCCCTGGAATTTGGATGGGTTTGGTCACCTCATTAGTTTTATTACTGATCCTCACCTATGGAATCCATATGATTACAAATCTCACGACCAACAGCAGATTTGATGACCCGAAAGGTCCAGCTCTTTCAGTACCTCAGACAGAATAACCGCAACTGTGTAGTTCCTGTGACTGCAAACTGCTATTCAAAACTATTACTATAAAAGAAAAACATAGGTGAAGTTAATAAAATGCATGAGTCATGGGACCAGTGGAACATTTTTTTTGAAAATTAGAAGACAGTGAGCAGCAGTGATAATTCTGCCAGCTGTTACCTCTCTCTCTGTGTAATAGCTGCCTAAATGAAAGTCCTGAGGCAAAGCTGCAGCCACTCACAGTGGTTGCCAGTCATTAAGGAGATCACTAGATTGTGCCAGCAGCTCTGTAAATGGCATTTTAAAGAGCTATCACCAACGTATTTTTCACAAGAATTTGCTACATACAGCCTTATTTTAAAAACAATGTACTCTACCTTGAGTCTGTCATGGGATGATTACGTATCACTACCCTGAAAGATAAATGTCTCAATAACTTGTAAATGCAGTTTTTAAAAATTTTACTATTTCTATTGGACAAAGCATCGGAAATTTCCTGTTCCAAAAGGCTTTTAATTGAAATAATATCAGCTGTGGGTCTCATGGCAATTTTTGGAGTATATATTTTTAATTGCATTTTAATTATTTTGCCCTTTTATTTTGCCTTTTTATTGTATTTTAAATGTTGTAAGTCGCCCAGAGACCTTCGGGTAGTGTGGGCAGCATATAAGTTAAATAAACAAATAAACAAATAGACAGATAGACAGACAGACAGACAGACAGACAGACAGATAGAGAGAGAGACAGACAGACAGAAAGACAGACAGACAGACAGACAGACAGACAGACAGAGATAGATAGATAGATAAGTAGATAGCAGACAGACAGACAGACAGACAGACAGACAGACAGACAGACAGACAGACAGATAGATAGATAGATAGATAGATAGATAGATAGATAGATAGATAGATAGATAGATAGATAGATAGATAGATAGATAGATAGATAGATAGATAGATAGATAGATAGATAACCTCTGACAGGAAACTGATTGATCTCCTAAGGCCTCCAGAGGTTCTTGGACTTCAACTCCCAGAAATCCTGGCCAGCAGAGGTGGTTGTAAAGGTTTCTGGGAGTTGTAGTCCAAGAACATGTGGAGGCCCAAGGTTGAGGACCACTGTCTTAAGGCACAGAGCTCGCTAATCAGAAAGGAAAGTGAGACAGCTGCCTCAGAAGGCAAGATATTGTGAGGCAGAGAGTAGTGACATGATGTTGGAGAACAGAGTTATCTGTGCCACATGACCTCTCTTGTGCCCTTGAGGCTGGCCTGCAGTGTGCTGGAGGACATTTGTCCTGTCACCAGCATGTCAATAGGAGACAATGAGTCTGCCACTGTAGATGGTACGGGAATGGGCACCACCTTACTCTTTGTCTTAGACCAGTCCTGCTAACAGAGTGGTCACATGAAATGGAGGACAGGACTTTTATACCTTTACTAAGACGTGGGGAAGAAGGAATTTCAGCGGGTCTAATTTGAGGCAAGTTGCCCCTGCTGAAATTCCCTTTTCCGCACATGTATGAAGTATATTCTTGTGTTTATAGGCAGCAAGTGCTAGAACTGTGTTGTCTAAGCCAGTCTTTTTCCAAGTGTGGGAGGTCAGCACAGTTTGTGGGTCAAACCATTATTCGAGTCCAATAAATCAATTACCTTCACATCAGAGAGCAGGCATTGATATGGCCACTGAACTATATGGGTCATATGAGGTTTCAGAAATCTTGACAGGCAATATGGGTAGCAAGCCAGGGTCAACATTCCATGTTTCCTCCCACAAAAGCTTAGCTTCTACCACATACATAATGTATAGCTCTCAGATAGCTCCTCCCTAGCATTCAGGTCTTTCCAGTAAACAATCACAGAGCCTTAAAATGCTTTTCATTCAAGTTTCTTCAGCCCCCTCTTTCCCATGGAGAAATGGTCCTCCCACTTTTTCCTGTGATGCTTCTTTCCTGTCCTGCTTCCCAAAGCTTCTGAAAGAGCATTGACAGCTACATATAGCCTCCCCTAGCTGTGCAAGATCTCCCTCCCTCTCTGAAGCTGATTTAATGGGTGAGAGGGTGTATCTCAGTGGGTTGGAGCCCATGCGTGTAGAGCCATGGGTTCAAATACCCACTGTTCTTCCTGAGAGGAGCCGGCTGAGATAATGTCATGTATATGTGGCTAATGGAGTGACATGCCCTGCCACATAGGCAGCCTTGGCCAAGCTGCAGGATCCCACAGCACCACTGTAAGGAAGGTCTATTGAATAATTCCTGGTTACTTTATGGGCAGAGGACTGTGGAAAAGTTACTTCTACAACTTAAGGAATCAGCTCAATGGCAAATGCTCATCATTATTATTACAGCTACAGGGCCTCTCCATCATCTTCATGCACCCACACGACCTGCTAAACCAGGGCAGAAGTGAAGTCTTCAGCCACATGTGGCCCTCTTTGCTTGCAGCTCCCAGCCCCAGCAGACCCCCTCTACCACCAATCTACATCCAAAACAGTCCTCCCCATAAGCCTCCAGCAGCAGCAACCAACCTTTTAAACAAATTGCAGAGCTCCCTCTGTTGAATTTAATATCCATAGTTTAGTGGTGTAGGTCTGTGGCTACAGAGCCAGAGGCTGGGAGTTCAATTCCCCATGTGCTTCCTTGACAGGAGCTGGACTTGATGATCCATAAAGCCTCTTCCGGCTCTGCAGTTCTAAGGTTATTTATTTATATACCCATTCTTCAAAACCACAGACCTTTGTCTTGCTCTAGTTTCATATTTCCAAATTTTGGCTGTTGGGGGGATGGAACATTTCCTAAAGCTCCCTCCCCTGTGCTACACATGCTTAATTTATACTTCAGCAAATATAGATTCACGTGTTTGTTTCTTCTGTTCTTTTAATGTTTATTTTTGCAATAATCCTGTGATTAAATGCACACAAGAAATGAAAGCTTTCAGTGCACATTAATAAAGCACTCCAGTCACAAAGATTAGGTCTGTTCTTGGAGTAATCATTATCCTGGTTATTTGGAGAATTGTCACTGAACAAGCTTCTCATTTCCTTAGTTTTTCTTGGAGCTTGGAAAATGGCTTTTTTGAACTCACAGAATCTATTAGTCATCCTGGCTTAGAGGTCTGGGGCATTATGTATTGACCAACCTCTCGTTACCAAGAAATGAAATAACTAGCTATTGCGAAGTAACTAACAAAGGTCAGCTAAGTTTTATTTGAGAAGTAATATAACAAGCAGTTACAAACTGAAGTTTTGGTGTAGGAATTTCTAGTTACTTTACTTATGTGTAAAGGGTATTTTAAGGCATGTTTATATGCCTTTAAATAGGATTTTTTAAAAGTTTTATGCCAGAATCTTATCAGTTCTAAATACCAAGTGAGGTATTGTTTTGAGACAGGATGGGTGGGTGTGCCTCACCTCAAGACTTCATGAAGTCTCCCCACTCACTGTGGTCACAAACCATCGATGCCTTAGGGACATAGCATAATTTTTGTTTCCCCATCACACTTGAGATGGAAAACAAGACGTGGCTGTCTGTGTGACTTGAGCTCATGTACTCTTTAATTATATTAATTAAAATTCTATTGCTCTGATTCAAACACAGTTAATTTTTTTGTTGGTTACTCTGTTGGTTAAAACTCACAAACTTAGCAAACAAGTATAGCTAGTTAGTAATCCTAATGTTTAGTTGTTGTTGTTGTTTTTAAAAAAATGCCTATAGCACCCTGGTTTCTATTTACTTCCTATGCAAAAGTCTTCAAACAGAGTTTCGAAGCAGGGTAACTGACTCTCGTGTCCTGTATTAATATATTAAGAATGTGGAGCAATAGCATCAAACAGAAGTTAAAGGTCCTATTCTTATAATAGAAGTATGAAAGAAGGTGTTTCCACAGATGCAGCTTGCCACAAAAGTTACACTTCAGAAACAGCCGAGGTTCATCCATCTTCTGCCGCAGTAAATCACAACACAATAATATCTGGACAGCCACATGTTCCTCATTCCTGAAGTTGAGGTTGAGCATCCCTGTATTAGACGTTATGCTGGAGACATTGTTCCTATGGTGGAGTGACAATAAATGCTGTACAGTATATGGGCCAGTATCTTACTGTAGAGATGCAAAGCTGAAAGAATTATTGTCTCGTGGCTCCGGCAGGCTCCCTCTTGCATGCCTGCGTGTGTGACTAATTGAGGGGGAGCCTGCCAGAGATTGGGAAGGGAGCTTTTAAATAATCACCCTCCCAATCCATGTTTATGCAACAGGATCAGGGCCATAAAGCTTTGCTTTATCTCTCCCCTTTTGGGTAACTGCTGTAGAGACAGTAATAGTTCACATTTTCCTGATCATAGGTTTGTTGGTTTGTTTAAACAGAGATTCAGAAATGCACAAATAATGCCACAGACTTGAACAAGAAGCAGGTTAGAGAGTCTCCGAAAGGGTGTGGAGCAGGCTGCCATGATCTATGGGCCCCTTATTAGGGCATGAATTAGGTCAGGGTGCTTCTACATACACCTACTGAGCAGCACATCTTACCTAAAGAACTTCAACCTAGAGTCATCCCTATTCCCAACAGCAGGTGGAGTACAAATAACACCATTCTATTGAGTGCCTATGTTTATGGTGGTAGCTTATGCACCTACCACCAATGCTGAGGAGACTGGAATTGACCAATTTTATGAAGACTTACAACACCTTCTAGAACTGACACCAAAGAAAGATGTTCTTCTCATTCTAGGGGATTGGAATGCTAAAGTAGGGAGTCAAGAGATAAAAGGAACAACAGGTAAGTTTGGCCTTCAAAACGAAGCAGGGCAAAGACTAATAGAGTTTTGTCAAGAGAACAAGCTGGTCATCACAAACACACATACACAGTGGAAGTGAAGAACAGATTTAAGAAACTCGATTTGGTGGACAGGGTGCCTGAAGAACGTTGGATAGAGGCTTGTAACATTGTACAGGAGGCAGCAACAAAAACCATCCCAAAGAAAAGGAAATGCAAGAAAGCAAAGTGGCTGTCCAATGAGGCCTTACAAATAGCAGAGAAGAGAAGGGAAACAAAATGCAAGGGAGATAGGGAAATTTACAGAAAATTGAATGCAGACTTCCAAAGAATACCAAGGAGAGACATAGAAAAGGAAAAACCAGAGAAAGATTTGGATATCCCGGACAACCCAGATAGTGTGATTGCTGACCTTGAGCCAGACATCCTGGAGAGTGAAGTCCAGTGGGCCTTAGAAAGCTTGGCTAACAACAAAGCCAGTGGAAGTGATGGCATTCCAGTGGAACTATTTAAAATCTTAAAAGATGAGGCTGTTAAGGTGCTACACTCAATATGCCAGCAAGTTTGGAAAACTCAGTTGCGGCCAGAGGATTGGAAAAGATCAGTCTGCATCCCAATCCCAAAGAAGGGCAGTGCCAAAGAATGCTCCAACTACTGTACAATTGAACTCATTTCACACGTTAGCAAGGTTATGCT